CCTTGAATCAGTTTACATTTAATAACCTACTATTATAAATATTCATTGGCACAAGTCTAAATTCCAAGTTCAACCCTAGCGCATACACGCTCCTGCTCAAGGTCACTGACGCTGGAACTCTCGCGTACAGAGAGTGTCACCGCTGTGACTTGGTGGAGTTCAATGCCAAGAAAACCCAGGATTGCGCTTTCGCGGCAAAAACATCGCCATTCCTTCCCCTTCCCTCTATTCAGGGCACAACACTGACACTACAGAGCAACGTTACCATGCTCGGTATGGAAGTTCGCTCAGACCTGAATCCAAGACTACATCGAAACCGTGATCAAAACAGCTTCAAGGAAACTCGTAGTCCTGTACAAGGAGCGGCGTTTTTTGACGCCTGAGCAACTGTGCTTGTTGCACAAAACGAAAATGCCTCTGGGATGGCTTCGCTAAGTACTTACTCGATGCCTTGGATAGGTTGCAGCGGCGCGCTGCCCGCATCATTGACGATGAAGAGGTAACTAAGAAACTCGAGTCTCTACAATAACGCTGTGATGTGGCATCATTAAGCGCGTTCTATCGACTATACCACTGCACAATACATACAAGAGCAGTAGCGTAACTCAGCCGTTTTCTTGAAATAGATACCTGCGACTGAGCGGAGTGCTAGGGTTGGTACTATCAGGCGCGGTCGCAGCCTGAAATTTTGGAGGGGGTCACTCACGACACTAATAAAAGAAACCGGCCAAGTGCGAGTCGAACTCGCGCACCGAGGGTTCCGTACACACCTAAATTTTCAAAAATATTTTCGAAGTGAAACTTCTTTATCGGCGTTGGAAAAAAATTTACCGTCACATTTTTCGGTTACGCGTCACATTTTTCCGTTACGCGCCATCTTTTTAAAGATAAGACTCGCTCAGCCAAACTCGCATAGCGATACTCGCTCAGCGATACTCGCTCAGCGGCACTCGCTCAGCGGTACTCGCTCAGCGGTACTCGCTCAGCGATACTCGCTCAGCGATACTCGCTCAGCGATACTCGCTCAGCGATTCTCGCTCAGCGGCTTGGCTGTCAAAAGCCGTGCGCGTGCATTTTAACTCAGTACTGCCAATTCGTTTCTAGTTTCTACTCGCTTATCGTTCATCGTCGGAGGTGGAACATGTGCCTTAGATTACTGAGCCGTGTAATCATAACAGTTTCATAGGCAGTAATTTGTATTCATGTCTATGATAATAAAATCCTTTTGTTTAAACTTTATCTAATTTAACTTTATTTAACCAATTTCTGGAAAGTTGCATGTAGATCATTTTTCGAAAAATAAGGCCATAAAGAAGTTTCACTTCTTACGTGTGTACACTAGTACACGCACACATTTTTTTTATTATATGATGTAACTAAAAATTTACGGTTTTCGTAATTTTTCCTTTATCTGTACTATAAGACGTTGCTTTGTATCAAATTTCAAGATTCTAAGTTCACGGGAAGTACCCTGTAGGTTTTGATTCCCGTGGGAGTTTCGAAAAATTGCAAAAAATTGCGGCATAAACGACTGTATCTTTTGATTGCTTTGGCTTAGGAGTTTGATTTTTTCACAGCTCCAAGGGACAGTAGACCTGAGTATAAGTTATGAATTACAGTTTGATACCTCCACGTGCCCTGAGAAAAACGGTCTTGACAGACGGATGGACGGACGGACAAAAAAGTGATCCTATACTCAGTCAGCTCATAAGTATTGTCACACAGTAAAAACTTTTCTTTTAGAATACTGACCACAAAAAAAATTGAATTCGAATTTCGAATTGTTCATGAAAATAATAATGTATACTTTTTAGAATTTTACTCATTTTTAAATATGGAGTGGACGCTTAAAGAAGACCGTGTTGCAGTTATTGCGTTGCATCGTTGCGGTTACGCGCCAATTAAAATTTTTGACATACTGAAAAATTTGAATATGACCAAAAGATTCGTTTATCGTACCATCAAACTCTACAATGAAGACTCTAGTGGAGATGGCAGGGCAAGAAGTGGTCGCCCTCGGTCTGTTAGGACTCCAGCAGTGATAAAAGCTGTGAAGGCGCGAATTCAAAGAAATCCCAAACGTAAGCAGAAACTGTTGGCCCTTCAGATGAGGTTAAGCAGAACCACGGTGAAAAGGGTGGCTGGGTATTCTAACAAGATTCGGCGCAAGCTCATAGAGCGAAGAGTACACAAGACGGGCTGGCGGCGCGTGAAATCGACTTCATCCGGCACGAAGACTGGCCCTCCTCCAGTCCAGATTTGAGTCCGTTAGATTACAAGATATGGCAACACTTGGAGGAAAAGGCGTGTGTGAAGGTTTTTGGCGGGATTTCATCGAGTGCGGTTGGCGTCTTATTTTAATTATTTTTAAATTCGTTCATAGTGGATATTGTGAAATAAAATTGGTGTGGTTTTGTGTAACAACCGTCTGCGTAACTGAGGAATTAGTGGAATCGTTAAAATATACGCTATTCCGGTCAAGTGGACGTAAGAATTTTATTGTAGTGTTGACTACCTCACAGAAGCTTATCGAAAAAGCCAACTCGATACATTTCGTGCCAAACACTCCAAGAAACATTAGAATGCGTCACACCGACATTCTAATGTAAAAACAAAAAGAAGATTAATTTAATTAAAGACTAGGCTGTATGGGCATTGTTCCCTTTGCCTTCCCTAAAACGGGAGAACTAACAAAAAAAAAGGCGTGTGTGGGAAGTCGTCTTTTTATATTTGCGAATCGGGTGATAATATTTGAGACGTCTGGTACTATTTCCGGGTCAATGTTTAGAAGAGCTAAATCTGTTAATCGCTCTTCTATCATGTTAGCTCTCAATCACGTTTTAAGTAGACCGCCTTTATCTTGAATCTTTACAATAAACCGACAAATAACATTATTATTAGAATATTGTTATACAATCTTTGTCATAACGTCGCATATCTATTTTGCTAGGATTACCAAAACTACGTAGTTCAGTTCCTTGTTTCTAAACTAGTACTAGATGTCATTTCCAAGATATTTTTGCCATCGTACGTAGTTCATAAAAACACCACAAATTATATATTATCCCTGTTAGGAGAAAGAAGTTTCCTTTTATTATTTGGCAAATTTTTGAGATTTTATGTTAAACCCCCCCCCCCCCCCCTTCGGACCGCGCCTGGGTACTATCGCGGAATTTTGCGCTCTGTCACTTGGCGAACAAAATGCTTTGAACGGTTTTCTACAGTAGTTTTTACTACGCCCCGCCTTCGCGTCGGACGCGCCAATCCGGGCCGCCGCACAAAAGTAAGACAGAGAGCATTTCATTGATTGAATAATGAATTGAATTGCATTTGTTTTAGTTGAAATTTGTCATCCGCATCGTGATCGCGACAGCGCTATACGAAAAAGTAAGACAGCGCCAGTGTTACCAACCCTTACCAAAATTTTACCCCAAGCATTTTTTTAATTCCCCTAAAATCCCCTAAATTTAGAAATTTATATGTACCTACTTATCTTATTACCTAAATTCTTTCGTTGCTCATAAATTAAAACGTTACATATTTAGTTACAGTAAATTATTTTATTGAATAAATACATTTTCCGAATGGAAAATCAAACGAAAATGAACGATCTTATTTAGCTGTTACAGCCTTAGGAGACAACCTGCCACACAGTGAGTTCAGTCGTTTCATATCGTGGTGCGTTCTATACTACGCACAAAACTGAAAGAAAACACACGCTTTGTTTTTCGATTTAATTGCAAGTTTTGTGAAAAGCCCCTAAAAGAACCCCCAAAAAATTCCAGCCCCTAAAAAAGTCCGTTTTAACCCTTCTAGCCCCTAAATCTGGGGGCAAAACCCCTAAGTTGGGAACCGTGAGCGGCGCGCGACTTGGCACTGCGTAGATTTGTCTTGCCAAGTTTGGTTAGCGGCCGTGTAAATGACGTTTGTCTGTGTGCGTGCGTCGATTCGGGCTCGAGTATGAAGTCAGAGTACTGCTCTTGTATGTATTGTGACCACGGCGAGTGTTCTGAGGAGTTATTCTCCCTTATCCCTTCACCTATCACCTTTTTTTTTCAGAGAATCGCGCGCGCTGACCTTCGTTGTCACCGAATTACTGTGGCCACTATTCCTACGTAAACAAAGAAAGGAGAATGGTCATTTTACTTTGGGAGTTGGGCTAAGTTTTTTTCATTGCGTCTTATTGGAATAAGTGTACAACAATAGGGAATCAGGTGTATATTGTGTAGGAAAAATATCATTAGAAACTTAAGTGGTGGTTTAAAGAAAATATTAAATTACGTAAGCATTTGAAGGTTATGTCATATTTAGATTCGATTAAATTCGATATTTTTACCATACTTAATTATTACTAGGTATACTACTTTAAACTGTATTTAATTAGGTTGTGACCTTTTGTCATCTATTTTGGACTGGGAGTAAAACAAAAATTGCATGCACTTCGTAAAATCTTATCAACGGGCAACGTATATTCGTAAACTGTTGCGTTGGTGAGCTGCTATCTATCTCTATTTATTCCAAACATCTCAGATTCAATAAATGTGGCGTTGTTGAGGTGCGGTTATATTAGTGCTATTTATACTTATTCTCTTTACGCTCAAGCTGCACCTTTGATGCTCTGTTAACCCAACAATGGATATAATATTATTGTGACTCATTTCTTTGACATTCTTTTCGCAAGTGGAATACTTTGCCCGCGCACGTGTTCCCTCCTTCCTACAATCTGGGGTCCTTTAAGGATTGTATTACAGAATGACAACTAAGTGTCGATCTTTACTTGAGTACAGTTGGAAAGGGATGTCGCTATGTGCTTTATATAGTGACATCTCTTTCTATCTATGCTCAAGACTAGATTCGTCAGTACAATACATAGTTAAAAACAATAATAAGAGTAAAAAAGTCGATAAAAATAAAGTTTATTTAAGGAGAACCCCTTTTTTTTACTCCATAATAAACAAACCCATAATACTGGAAACTGAAAGAAAATCAAACACACACAGTATTTATACCAATAGTATATTTCAATTATTCTAAACGTAACATTTACAATAATTATGTATACATAAAAAACACATGTATATTTACAAAATGAATACATTAAATGACTACGAGACGACGGAGGGCGAGATATAAGACAAAGATTTTCATTAAATTTTTCATAAATAGTGAACTTTCATTAATATTATGCAGCTAATTGCTACTTTCCAAGCATTAAGTTCTCGCTGGTGGCTACTAGATGGCGCTTTTATTTTTTTTTATTTCATATTTTTATTCAAAGCTTTCGATTGCGGAACTTAATAAATATATTTATATATGTTTGTGTGCGGTCCGAAATAGGGTAGTCGTGAGTCAGCAACTTCATAATGAAAGATGAAAAGCATCTTTTACTATATTCATGTTTGTAATGTCCAAGGCTATTTGGATTTTCAATTTATGAAATATGCAAATTTGATAGATTTCGAAAACTTGTTAAGTGCCAGTATATAATAATATATACCTATACTTCGACTTTTTATTAGCTGCAGTAAAATGACGTTTCAAAATGTCATTCCGTAAAATAATGTTGACAGCCTAATTTCAATAGGGATGTGCTTAGGCCACTCTCATAGATATTGTCAAACAACAAAATCATACTGAGAATTATGCCGTCAACGAGATTGCTGAAAAAGGTATCAGACTTTTAAGACTGCCCCCTTATCACTGTGAATTGAACCCCATCGAGTTGGTTTGGGCTCAGGTAAAGGGGCACGTCGCAAACAATAATAAAACATATAAAATGCAAGAAGTGAAAACTTTATTCCAAGAAGGAATCAACAAAGTGACACCGACTAAGTGGAGTGACTGTGTGTCTCACACTATAAAAGAGGAAGACAAAATGTGCCACCTCAATCAAATTATAGATGAAGTGACAGACAGATTTGTCATTAGTGTGACCGGAAGCGATAGTGATTCCGAAAATGATAGATTAATAAATAACTTTGTTATGACAATTTTGTTTAATTTTGGATGTACGTCCTTATACTTCCACTGAAAAAGATCAATCCTTTACTAAAGTAATAATAATAGTATAAAAAAACATTACAACTAAAATTAAATCTCTAAAATAAAACCAAACTGATCAGTCATTTATTGAATGATTCACTTACTCACTTAGCTACATCCCTATTTATTTTTCTTCAAAAAGCGGTAACCCACAAAACGTCATTTTACTGCAGCTAATAAAAAGTTCTACTTTAGTAGAAACATCAAGATATACTTGAGAAGAAGAAAATAATAATACAGAAGAGCGGACTAACAACTGCTGACGACTGCAGACGCAGTTGGAAACGACGGCTTATCGAGCCTTGTAAAAAAAAATTTTGGTCACCCATCCAAAAACTGGCCATCGGTAAAGTCGCTTGACTTCCACGATTGCGGATCGAAAGCGCCATCGAGTACGCGAAATATTTTTATTATTTAAAAGTAGCATTTGTTTATAGATTTTCGTGTAAGAAGTGCAGTAAAGTGGCTTCATAGTGTTTCGCGGCGTGCACAGCTCTCAAAGAATGCCTTTCTCCTGGGTAGATCTGGAAAAGAAAAATGTTTAATCCGTCATCGTCATCAGCCTATTAATGCCCCACTGCTGGGGTACAGGCCTTCCCTATGGATGGAATAGGGAGATTGGGCCATGACCCACCACGCGGGCCCAGTGCGGATTGGCGGGTGCTAACGACTGCAGATGCAGCCGGGATGAACAGCTTAAGTAGCTTTAATATATTGAAAATTTCATGAAAAACAGCTTAACGTGCCTTCAGAATCACCGAGGATTTTTGGTCACCCATCCAATAACCGACCACTGCGAAAGTTGGCTAACTTCAACGATCACAGCCGAATGCGCTAACCACCATAGCCATCGAGCTCCTCCTCAGTTTGCACTATTATTACATAATCACACTATAACGGCTGTACAGGTTTCGATGAAATTTGCCACATTTATAATTACCTAGCGGCCGCCAGTAGTCCAGTTTTGTTCCAGTCAATGAATAGCGAGATTGGGCCATGACCCATCACGCGGGCCCAGTGCGGATTGGCCGGTGCTAACGACTGCAGATGCAGCCGGGACCAACGGCTTAACGTGCCTTCCGAAGCACGGAGGAATTCGAGATAGAAGATTTTTGGTCACCCATCCAATGCAAAAGTTGCGTCAACAGAGACTAAGAATAAATTTTAACCCAAAAAAGGTCAGGTTGCTGTAAGTTTCTCAAAAAAATTTAACTAGCCTTGCTGATTTTCTTACCAGTGCTTCTCTCTCTGTAGATTTGCGAACCGATGGCGTAGCTTCGAGACATTCATGAGAGCTTGTCACAACCTAAATTGAATAAACTATATTGAATAATTTAATGAGTTGTTCAATTACCTGAACCCTGTGAGGTTTCCCGAGTCGCACCAGCTCGGCGAGCAAAGCCGCGGTATGGCAGAAGTGCACGTTTTCATCAGCTAGGCCGTGTATTATCAATAATCTACCTTCCCTGTACACAATAAGGTTCATTTTCAGTTATAGTGAATTTTCTTTACTATACTACAACAATTTTAAATAAATAACATAACATAAATATTTCCAACACACACCAATTAGCCTAGCCCCAAAAGGCTTGTGTTATGGAATGCTAGGGTAACGGATAGAATACATATACTGTACATATATAACTATATTTATATAGAAATAAATATTAAACGTCCATTCATTATACAAACATCTGCCCCCACCGGGATTCGAACCCAGGACCTCTCGAGTCGGCGAAACCGTGAAACGTATGTTATGTATTTTGATCTCGTTGAGTCTTTTACAAAACAGATTTATTGATGACTAAAGAAAATTTTACGCGGACCAGGCAGCAGACGGGACTCGAACCCGCACCTTTCGCTATCCGGGCGAATGCACTGACAATTATGCTACCGCGGCCCTGGCGGCCGTGTCGAATTTTCCCTAGCCTTTCTTAAGCTGCAAGGCAGCGCCATCTCAAAACGGGTCATGTTACGCGCAATGTGTGCGTGACTCTAATGTCAGATTGTATGAAAGCAGTCAATGTGGTTTAAATATTATAACCGCCAAAGACAACGATTTTTTTATGGAACAACTGCATGTCTTTTAATTTTGTGCATAATAGAAAATCTTAAAATATATTTTTTGGACATTAGTAAAAACTCTTTTGTTGATATGTGTTATTACAACTTGGCTGTACAATGGTTAATCTTTCGCCTACCTAAAAAGGGGAGAATTTAAAAAACAAAAACATCTACTCACTGGTCGGGGAAGAACGGCGCATGCGCCAACACACTCGCTCTGGTGTACGAATGAGGTGAACTTGAAGGCAGGCCCATATATCTATACGTTAAAAGAACAAGATATTTTTAAAAGCATGTTTAACCTATAGAAAATGTTATTAGAAAAAGGTTGTTAGTTTAGTTTTACTGGACTACTAAGACATTACGAGAATCAAAACTTTAGGAGGAATTTAATCAGCTTTAAATGCTCTTTTTTCCAACACTCACACCAATTAGGCTAGCCCCAAAGTAAGCACTGTAAGGCTTGTGTTATGGGATACTAGGTTAACGGAAACAATACATATTCTGATACATATATAAGTATATTTTATCTGAACATATATATAAACTAGCGGCCCGCCCTCGCTTCGCTTCGGTGTAGAGCTGAAGTGTAGACTACAGTTTTTGTTCTCAGGCTTGTATTATACACAATGACATTCATCTATGAATATTTTTATACCTGCATGCAAAGTCTCAGCCCGATCGGTTTAAAATTGACAAAGTTTGATACAAACTTTCATTCCCTATTTTATCCCCTTGGGGGTAGAATTGATCAAAATCCTTTCTTAGCGGATGCCTACGTCATAACATCTACCTGCATGCTAAATTTCAGCCCGATCCGTCCAGTGGTTTGGGCTTTGCGTTGATAGATCACTATGTCAGTCAGTCACCTTTGAGTTTTATATATATATAGAAGATATACGCGACTAAGTTACGAAGGCTCGTATTTATCATACTAACATTTGCCCTCACCGGGATTCGAACCCGGGACCTCTCGAGTAGGCGACACCTTGAAATCCGGCGTATAGAACACTCGGCCACGGAGTCTATTCAAAATCAAATAAAAAAACAATATCGTTTATTCACTCTAGGCTGTTACAAGCACTTGTGAATGTCTAGAAGCTACGCCATCGGTTCGCAAATCTACGGCGGGAGACCTTGTACTGAGAAGAACCGGCAAGAAACTCAGCAAGGGCTGTTTTTTTCTCCCTGTATTAAATGTATATACTAGCGGCCGCCCGCGACTTCGTAAGCGTGGAGTTAGTTATTTGCACATACTTTTTAACCCCAAAAGGGGGTTTATTTCTAAAGATACATTATGAGTACACCTCTACACCGTCTATAGAGCATACATGTTAAATTTCAAGTCCCTTACTTAAAAAACATAGGACATTCATAGACACTTCCAACACCCGTATTACCCTCTTAGGGGTGGAGTTTCGTAATAATATGTAGCCTATATGTTGACCCGACTTCTTAATAATATTCGTGCCAAATTTGAAGTAAATCCATGCAGTACTTTTTGAGTTTATCCCGGACATACCTATAGACAAACAGATAAAAACTATACACAATCGATACCGAAGCCAAAAAGTATAGTATCCCACCCCAAGTATTATTTTAAAGAAAATATTCAATGTACAGTTTTGACTTTCCTACCATTTTGTTATAGTATAGATATTGCCAATGATATGGTCTAAGTAATGTCTCACCTTTCCGTATAAGCTGTGTCGTATAATCGCCAGCTGGTAACCGGAGCGCCGGCGACGCAAACCTTGAATATGTTCGGTCTGGTTGCCAATCCGAGCAGCGATAGGTAACCGCCTGGTTGTCAACAATAAAACATATATAAACATAATAATAATATTTATAACACATTTGTTCGTAAAGCGTCTCTTATTGCACCAATTTCAATATCGTAATGTAAAGTAAAACGCACGGCTTATTATGTTCCGTCTAAAAACGAACGATAGTATTTTTAAATCTTAGCAAAGAGTTTTTATGTCAGAAAGGTAACCAACATTTTCTTGATAAAATTAGCTTTGGTAGATAAAATATAATATATAAACCTTTTTATTCTTTAATTTGATTCATTTTGACAATAAATTACAACCATGTATCTGTAACAAATTCACAAATTATTTTACTTTATTAGTAACACAGTGCGATCCGGGTCGTCCATCCGATTTTTCGGATCGTAATGGATCGTAATGCGTAAATCCGATCCCCGGATCGGATCGCATGCCGTCGATCCGATCTTCAAGAAATCGGATCGGATCGTATACAAATAAGTAAGACAATTAATTAATTTTTATTTAGTAAACTCTTCACAGTATGTAAACTTGTGAACAAACTAGATTGTTCTATGTAAAACTTATATATACAAGTACTTAGTTTTGAAAGATGAACAATGTAAAATAGTAATTTAAGTACACAGAGAACTTAAAAAATATTTCCTAGTTATTTATGAAAAATTTAGACTTCGAAGAAATGCGCCCAACTACTTAATAATAGTTCATATACAATTGAATCAGTCATTTCAAAAACCTCTTAAGTCACACTAATAGAGTTTTTCAGGAACTAATAAAAACTGGTTCATGCTCAAACAATCGAGTTTAATAGAACTTTTTTACGCTTACTTTAGTGTTTGAGTTGTAAAAAATTCAAATATCCAAGAACTTTTACTGTTCATAAATAATAATAATGAAAAAATTAAGAAAATTTATTCTTGACTTATGTTATTTTTGCAAGAAATAGGTGACTTATGTGATTTTAGCAAGAAATAGATTTAGTGGTATATATATAAATTTAACCACAACTTTTGTTTATAATAATAAAATGTGTAAGATTAACGGATCCACCTGCAAAGAACGCCGCCAAGTTAAAATATAAACAAAGATAGAGTTCGTAACAGAAACCTTAGTAAGTACCAACCCAACTCATTGTACACAAACCGCGTTTTAATTCATACGATTCAAGCGATCCGATCTTTCAAGTTTTGTAACGATCCGGCAAAAAATCGTATACCCTCGATCCGATCCAAAAATCACCGGATTGTATGCCTTCCGATCCGATTTTTCAAAGGATCGGATCGGATCGGCGCATCCCTAGTAACACTGGCTGCTTTTTGTTCCTTTGCCTAAAAAAAGTGTTGATGCGCGCGCATCGCTAATCTGTGAAAAAGTTATTTCTTTTTCTTTTCGCTGTATTGTTTTTATTTGAAAATATTAACAAAAATAATAACGAATTTATTAATTTGACACCGCCAAAAGTCGAAAAAGGCTACGCTACGCCTCTTGCCCGAAAAATCCACGGATAGATACTTACAGTCAAGCGTATCAAAATTTCATCTTATGGAAAACAAACAAAGGTGCAAATTCATTTTCAGAAAGTACGTACGTAGGTAGTATTATTTCCTCGTAAATGTGTTATAAAACGTCGTATGACATACGTGCGGTTTGATAATTACAGCCTCTGCCTTCTTATAGAAACAATATCGCCTCGGCTGTAATTCTCAACATACCGCACTTATATCATAATGTACTACATATTATTTATTGTCGCATTAATTGTTGACATACTTGAATATAAAGTAGTCCCTGAAGTAAGCCATAAAGCCGTTGGTTCCGGCTGCATCTGCAGTCGTTAGTACCCGCCAATTCGCACTGGGCCCGCGTGGTGGGTCATGGCCCAATCTCCCTATTTCATCCATAGGGAAAACCTATGTCCCAGCAGAGGGGACATTAATAGGCTGATGGTGATGATGATGAAGTACACAGTAAGTGAAATATTTAATAAATGGCATATGAATGAAGAATTTGTATATGTAAGGTAATACGATATGGAAATAAAGCACTTATTTGAGATTTTAAGACATGCCTGATCTATTTCTGAAAAATAGGTATGCTTACGTAGTGGACGATTATCGAAAAGCTGTGAACAATTATCTAACCGCTGTGATCGATTATCTAACAGCTGTGAACAATTATCTAACCGCTGTGATCGATTATCTAACAGCTGTGAACAATTATCTAATCGCTGTGATCGATTATCTAACAGCTGTGAACAATTATCTAACCGCTGTGAACGATTATTTAACCGTTGTGAACAACGAAATTAAATACCCTAGATACAACACGGGCGCTCAAATTGTGTCCGAATCAAGAGTGCTTGATTGAACACAACTCAAGCACTTCTTTTCAAAGTCAAGCGCGGACCGTTGAAAAGTCAAGATGCCGCAGAACTCGGGAAAGAAATGCGAAAAAAAATACTAATAGTATGTAAAGTATCCTTTCTCGACAGATACCTAATAAATGTTTGTTATTTTAACGCATTGGGCGCAAATTTTGTTCTAATACTATAAACGGATTTAATAGAAAAATATATGTGATATTCAAATGCATGGTCGATAATATAGCCGTCTCTTTTCCTCGCGGTCCGTATCTGCTATATTGCTAACAGCGCAATCAGAATTGCGCGTAGAGTCAAAGAAATAAAGTATATTCTTCCGCATTTATAGCAATAAGTCGTAAAATTTTACGAGCTTCCATTTTAAAATGTCATAACTCTTTGATGCAAGCATTTTAATTAAGACCTTATAAAGTATGCATTAAAGGTCTCTTTCAATGTTTAAATAATGCCTTATATTGTTTTTGACCACGCGATCATGTTACCTTTCCAATGTACCTTTTGGACATGTTTCGGTCACGATTTTGTTCGTGTTGTTGTATCTAGGGTATTTAATATCGTTGTCTGTGAACGATTATCTAACCACTGAGAACAACTATGTAACCGCTGTAAATGATTATCTAACTGCCGTGATCGATTATTTATTTAACAGCTGTGAACTATTATCTAATCGCTGTGATCGATTATCTAACCGCTGTAAACGATTATCTAAACGCTGCGAACTTTTATCTAACCGCTGCGAACTTTTATCTAACCGCTGTGAACGATTTATCTAACAGCTGTGAACAATTATCTAACCGCTGTGGACGATTATTTAACCGCTGTGATCGATTATATCTAACCGCTGTGAACGATTATGTAACCACTGTAAATTATTATCTAACCGCTGTGAACGATTATCTAAACGCTGTGAAAGATTTTATAATATTACCGTAACTCCATCCGTGTATCGCGATCCGCTCCATGTCGATGCAGTCAGTCTCCTTGGCAAGCCATTGTAATACTTCCACCTGAATCATACAAGCCATCATTAGCGGCGAAAGTTAATCAACTTTCACGGTGGTCTAACAAAGGATGGGTGATTTGAGTCACATATTTTCGAAGTGAAACTTCTTAACGCACGCTCGACTTGGGAGGTAAGCTGGCTAATGCGTTACGCGTTACGAAAAATGTGCTCGGGCGGTGCGAACGGGGGTTGAGTGGGGGATATAAGCAAGAGATAGCAGTGCGCGCGCACATTTTTTCTTTCTCTCATTCTCTTATAGCTAGTAAATGAAATATGTATATGTACATACATGTATGTATTGTACACATATATAGTATAATCTCACTAATCCGGCACTATTAAAAACCGGAGGGTGCCGGATAATTGGAATGTTCGGATTACTGGATTATAGTGAAAAAGTCGTAGCTAGCGCGAATAAAATAAAGCATTTCATAGATGGAATAAATGTATGTAATGTATTAATTTATGATATAATGATTCCATTGTCTTGACGTGGTCTACCATCTTTTGCCTTTTTTTCTTAAGATCGTATATAACAGCACGCCCAACACCATATTATTTTGCCAATTTGCACATGTTTTCCCCACTATCTAACTTCTTTAGAATCTCCATTTAATTATTCAAATCTAGTGTCTTGTGTTTGCGTGTATTTGGCATTGTTAACTATAAACTGTTCTCCCTTGAAACGTGCACGTGATAAGTTTTGAGGTTAGACTGCTAGCCGACGACGCAGCGACCGAAGCGCACAGGTGTAGAGGGGCGAGGGAGGCATGGGCGGAGAGTGCCGGATTATTGGACGTGCCGATCTATCGAAGTACCGGATTAGTGAGATTATACTATATATATATATATATATGTATATATATATATATATATTTATTTATTTTTTTATTTATTTATTTAATTCTAGACCAAAATCCACAGCATTTTCTTAATATAATACAGGTTTTACAATACAGTTTATCTTAATGTCAATTACGGATTTTCATTTTTTAGTTATAGCATAATAGTTTAGAAAACCCTCTACCAAACAAGGGCGAGATGTGTGCAATGCGCGCGCGCTATTGTATATGTGTGTGTGTGTGTGTGTTTGTGAGTATATATGTATACATGTGTGTTTCATTTTTGTTTGTATATTACCAATCAACCAACAGATCTAAAAGTTGTTTTTTAAAAGATGCTTTACTTCTGCAAGCAAATATGTCAACAGCCGTGAAACCTTTATTGTATGTACTTTGCGTTCGAAAAACAACTGAGTTTTGTGCATAGTTTGTGCGACATGTAGGAATTGCGAAAAAGAAAGATGATGTATGTCTGGTACGGGTAGTGGGTGTGTAGAGTGTTAAAAATGAAGAGGCAAGCTCAGTGCAGTCTATATTCCCATTGCAAACGTCGTAGAGAAATGCCATATCGAGCATAGTGCGCCTGTCCTCAAGAGGGACCAAACGATGGAAACGACATCCTTCCCTATAGTCCGGACAGTCATTTCTTTTTCTGTAATTAAGATGCTTAACAAATTTTGACTGTATCGATTCTAAGTCATGTTTATAAGTAATGTATTGTGGATTCCAAATATTGCAGCAATATTCAAGAATACCACGACAGTATGCAAAGTACAAAATCTTATATACTATAAATATAAATCTTATATACTATATATATAAAATAAATATATATACTAGCTGACCCAGCGAACTTCGTACCGCCATAAAAAAATAGGGGTTGGTGGTAGAAAGTTGAAAATTTAGGGATGTATGTATTTTTGTATGATGTATCATAAAAAAAAATAAAAAAATATCTAAAATTGAAAACAAAAATTTAGGGGTGGATTATCCTTTACATTTAGGGGGATGTAAAATAGATTACATCCGATTCTCAGACCTACTGAATATGCATATAAAATTTTTCGAAAATCGGTCGAGCCATTTCGGAGGAGTTTAACCACAAACACCGCGACACGAGAATTTTATATATTAGATATATTCAAATTCAAATTCTTTATTTGCCATTAAATAGGGTGGGTACATTGAAATGTTCATGTTGACAAAGATATAAAGTAGCTTTAAGCCTATTTAGACATATGATTATAGCATGCAAAAGGAATATTTCCATTTATATTTCTAAGAAAATAATAACAAAATAAAAATACAATTTCATTAATAAATCCGTAATAAGATAGAAAAAAAAAATTGTATACATTATATTCAATAGGATAATAATCAAAACTAATCAATTCATTTAATAAGAATTATATTATATATGTCATTTATAATTTAATATATACATACAGATGGAGCTAAAGAAGTTTCACTTCAGTCGTGTGGTCATAAGCAGACTCGTTTTTTTTTTATTTTAGCAGGCACGTGCTACCCGCATGTGATCAAGGCTCAAGCATGAATTGGGTGTTTGACAAGTATTACAAAACGTGCGATTTATTTGCTACTGAAGATGGAGCCCAAAAGATAAATTCATCATTGTATTCTGTATTTCAGTTAAAAAAACCAAATCAAATTTCCATTTTCAAGTGGTCGCGAGAACGTTATTCTAGATATTATAAATAATAATAAATATTTCCAACATTCACAACAATTAGCCTAGCCCCAAAGTTAGCATTGTAGGCTTGCGTTATGGGATACTATGGTAACGGATAGAATACATATACTAATACATATATAAATATACTACCAGTCATGAGACTGGAGTACAAATATGCTCGTATTCATCACACAAACATCTGCCCCCACCGGGATTCGAACCCGGGACCTCTCGAGTCAGCGCCACCAGGAAACCCGGTGTACAAACCACTTGACCACGGAGGTATATTGATATTAGCACACCCCCTCTTTTATTAAATTTCGGCGGTCTTATCGCTATATAGCAATTTCTATATAGCGATAAGACCGCCAATTGTTCACCGTTTTAAGTTTTTTCCTAGTGTGTTTTACTGAATGTGGTGTGCACAATAAAGTGTTATCTATATATTATATATATATAATATACCTCGTCGAATATATATATTTTTATGTATAATATATATCGTCTGTAGGAGACAGTACCGGAACATCTCCAAAATTTGATGTTTTGAGTTGATTAAAGAATTTAACTTCAAAGTTGGTGAATTCTTTAATTCAAACCGAAATTTGAGTTAGTTAAAGAATTTAACTACAAGTTTTTGAATTGTTCAATTCAAATTTCGGATATGTTCCGATACTGTCTCCGATAGACGGTATATAAAAATATTTATATATATACCTGGTCGTCCAGTTCCACCTGTCCCATCTTCCCTTTGATCGCGGCTTCCCAGGCCCGGCCGCGGTGCTTTGAGCCCCGGGAATCAACGGATACTACGTTGAAACCGCGCGCCGCCAACATATGCATGCGGAGTTGACGAATACCCTGGTGAAAACCGAGATATAGCAGTTTATTTAATTTATTTTCAGGGAAATAGTATTAATTTACACATTTTTTCTTTATTTTTAATATAAATATGCATCTTATTGTTATTACCTTTTTCATTTTATTTTAAAATATTGCTTTTACACCCTTCCCCCTTTTTTTTGTTAATATATACTTATTGAATTTTCCGTCATGGGTTGCCTGGAAGAGATTGCTATTAAGCAATAAGGCCGCCCATTGTGTGTCTCTCTGTCAGTGTATAATGTCCTTTGTGGTGTTATACAATGAAGAATTTTATTATTATTATTATAAAAAATATAAGTAACATTAAGTTTAAACAATTGCCTAGGTAATTTTCACTATTATTAATCTCACATAGTGTCTCTAATAAACAAGAGGGATTTTTTTTTTTTATATTATAATGAACATAAATAAAAAAAAATGGGTGCGTGTACTTATGTAGGCGCGTGAGAAGTTATCCTTCTTTGGCATCGTTTAAAATTAGTTTTTAATTGCATGCAAATAATTAATTACAATAAATTAATAAAAAGTCTGGAAAAGGACACAGTCAATAAAGTTCAGTTTTAATTTGAAAAAATAAATAAATAATCAAAATATTCAATTAAAATCGCTACTGAATATAATTTATTAGAACATAATGTGATTTGCACTTGTATGAAACTCAAACACGTATTCCGAATATACAAACTAGAAACATGTGGATAAATATTATAAATATGAATACCTATAACTGTTACTTTATTACAAAAAATAAAGATGTGGTTTTTGGTTCTACTACACCAATGGTCAAGAGATGGCGCTGTAGTCTCCTGAATCGCGCTTTGGTTCCGTTGTTCCAGATTAATAAATACTTTTGATAGGCCTTCACAATGCAGTCGTTAGCACCTACTAAATAGAGATTCTATTTCTATTTTGTTGGTAGTAAACACAAAAGTAACGCATGAAGTTGGTCACTTTAGCGACCAACTTCATTACAAATTTTAACATAATGAAGTTGATCGCTTTAGCGACCAACTTCATTATGTTAAAATTTTGTGTTACAGTGATGCGCGCGCATCTTAAAATTTCACTCTAATCATTTTTTCATAACGCGCCTAAAGAAGTATAACTTCAATAAAAAGAAATAAATATTGACTTGAAAACGTGACTTACCTTATAAGTATTGGTGACTGTCTGCACCTCGGGCCCTCCGTATACGTGCAGTACTGTAGGAGATCGGCCCGGCCTTCCGCATCGCCACAGCGTGCAGTAGGCAGTGGCGCCACAACACAAACGCGTGGACAGGATCTGAGCGGTCGGAACGCGCGCCCATACACTCTGCTCTGAGAGCAAAGGGTTTCTTTACACCAAAATAATAGCAAAGAAAGTCGGAATTTAGGTCAGAAAGTATATCATCATCAGCCTATTAATGTCCCCACTGCTGGGGCACAGGCCTTCCCTATGGATGGAATAGGGAGATTGGGCCATGACCCACCACGCGGGCCCAGTGCGGATTGGTGGGTGCTATACAGCCGGGACCAACGGCTTAACGTGCCTTCCGAAGCACGGAGGAGCTCGAGATAGTAAATTTTTTTTGGTCACCCTACCAATGACCGACCACTGCGAAAGTTGCTTAACTTCAACGATCGTAGCCGAATGCGCCAACCACTTGCACCATCGAGCTCCTCAGAAAGTATATAATCAAAAATAATAGACCTGATCCAGAATCAGGTCTGTTATTTTTTTATCTATTCCAGATAGATCTCTTACAAACAGAGAATTGGCTAAGCTATAGCTGCATTAAATATGTGGTTATAAACGTATGTAGATACGGGTATTGTTCGATGATACATACAGTTTCTTGGTTATCCAATGTAATAGGGTCCCACAATAGGGATGATGACTATTTTTTTTTCTTTTATCAGGTAGATTATCAAAAAGTATTGGACACGTATTTTTTCTTTTTTCACATACTTAATATAAACATTGCAGAGATATATTGATTTGAAAAGTCGCATGACGTCACGTTTGAGTACACTTATAAGTGAAAATTCACTCAAAAGTGACGTCACGAGCCCCTACTCCCAAACTTTGACGCGCTATAACTTTGTCATTTTTGGTTGATTGCCCAAAGAAAAAATACGTGTCCATTATTTTTTGATCATTTAACTGACGGACTAAATAGAATTTCGTTTACTGTACCCCGTCATCACCCCTACTTATCACACGTAACATTTATCACAATGTACACAGAAGGCTAATACGGCAACACAATACAACACGTAGAAACACAAATTATAAGCGAACAAAGGAAATCAGTAACAACAAATAGTAAACAGATTTGAGCGCATCAACATCGGACATTGACTGGAGTTCACGCATTCAATAGGCGGTGGTTTTCGCGTTTCCACTGCACTATGCGAATTACGTTCCTCCGGCATATTTATCGTATGAAGTGAATTAAGTTTATTGTTGAATACATATAAAAGATGTTGACCTATTATTAATGTGTCTGTGTAATGTATCTAGTGTGATGTAAATATTAAAGTTATGTAAATGTAATTGATTAAGTTTAAATTAAATTCGTTTTTTGTTTGTTTAAATAAATATATTAAACATTTTAATACTAGAAGTTATATTAAATAAATAAAATAGAAGCCCACAAATATAGTACTATCTTTCTAGAAAGAGGAAAAGATATCGTGCTTCTAAAAAAGTAGCAAAATTATCTTGGTCTCTAGAAAGAGGGAATAGTTCTAAATAGACAGAAGTGATTAAGTAAATTGATAACTCTATTATGAAGAGATAAAGCCAATTAAAGGACAGAAGAGTGTCTAAATGATTAGTTCTATTAAACGTAGAGACAACAGAGATATTCTAAAGTTAGTGCTCTTTCCTAACGACTTTTAGTTCGTGTTTTTCAACGCTAGTATGTGTTATTGTGTAGTGATATTGTGGGGACACGTGCAGCACTGTGGGCCAGCTAATCGGCCTGCCGCACCGTCACAGCGTGCAATAAGCGGTGGTGCCGCAACATAAACGCGTGGACAGGATCTGCGCGGTCGGAACGCGCGCCCATAGACTGTGCTCTGAGAGCAAAGGGTTTTTTACACCAAATTGATAGCAAAGAAAGTCGGAAAGTAGCTCAGAAAGTATATAGTCAAAAATAATAGACCTGATTCTGGAATAGATCTCTTATAAACAGAGAATTGACTAAGCTAACTAAGACTAAAGAAGAAAAGATATCGAGCTTCTAAAAAAGTAGCAAATTTGTCTTGGTCTCCAAAAAGAGGGAATAGTTCTTAAATAGACAGAAGTGATTAAGTATAATGTGATTCAAATAAGAATAGGAAAGCCAATGACCTCTATCTTTCAAATGTCGCTTGAAAAGTACGGTTTGCAAAAAAAAAAAACTTGGAACCCTTTTTTAGCACTCCGCTAATTCAAGAATAAAAACCAAACATTTGTAAACAAACAATAACAAATATTGATAACTAGCAAACCTGTGAACCAAATGTACACCAAAAAAAAAAAAAAATTTGAGAACTTGAAATAGAAATCACGTGATTTCTCGAAAACCGGAAGTGCTACGTTACTCAAATCCGGTTTGTAGTCTTATCAGACTATTCTTAACTTATAACTTAAACATTCTCTTTATCTATCTCTTACGGTTTGGCCGCTGAAACAGCACCACGGACGGACGGACGGACTTGTCTATTAGATAAGAGATTAATATCGGTTGATATTTTTTTTTTCACTTATTGAGCTTTGGCCATGAAAGAAAGAAAGAAGAAACTTAGCCTATTCTTTCAGAAACTCGATTTCAAACTTTCGTTTACATAAAGGATGCATGTTCATATGTGACCTAGTAATAGTGCATGATTATTCATAGCTACTCCGGCGGTAATGCAGAGATGAGCGGAATAGAAGAGCTAGACTCTGATCAATATTTTTTCTCGCTGTCTTAATAAATAAATATTATTAAAAATCGCTGTTTCTAACCAAGGGAAGACAAGAGAATTGTAAGCTTCCTTGTGACGAGAATAACTAATGACAACGAAGGTCAGGAAGGAAGTGGAGGCATCTAAATGCAAGGATTATAAAAATGGGAAAAAAGAGTGACAACTATTTGGTCGAATAAATTGGACCCGATTCTGACATAGTTTTCTTGTAGACAGAGCAATACCTTCATGAAATTCTCTAGTCTCTAAAAAGAGGGAATGGTTTTCTAATAGACAGTATTGACCGAGTTATACTTGTGTGAAATATACTAATTTCTAGCTAGAAAGAGAGAAAGGGATAGGGCGACTAACGAGCAACCAATCAAGCAAAGCACGGATCGGTTAAAATGCGAGAAAAAGGCAGAGAGCTTAGATTAAAACAAAAAGGGAAGATACGGTACGCTCATACAAGCATCAAATAAAATATGATCCGACTCAACTACATAAGCAACTCTCACACACGCACACGTCTGTATATAAACATTCAATCGAGCGAGCGAGATAGAACTGTACCCTTAGTACGAGTTTTACAATTACGAAAACTATTATAGTTTTCATGAGCTCACTCGCTTAGAGTACTGATTTTATTGTTTTCGTTTCAATACAAATAAACAGTGTTTAAATTCTATCATAAAATCATTTGCGTCTTCTTAAATTTTAAGTACCTATATTTGGTTACTTTTCACCATAATCGTCATAGAAACATAATTTGCAATTACGAAAACTATGATAGTTTTCGTAAGCTCAAACTCGTACTAAGGGAACTGTACGATTCAACGCAGCGCGAGCTTCGCTAGCCGCGTCGCTTGGCTTGGCGACTGCGTTTTCTGTTTTCTTTTCTCTCTCTACAAACGGCTGAGCTGTATTGTTGTCCTTTTCTTGATAACAAATGGCGAAAAAGTAAATAACAATTATGAGAAACCGTGCTTTTGAGCAAAAAATATTTTTCATAACTTTACGAATGAAAAGTGTTGCTGTGAAATTTATTACTTGATCTTGAACTATTTGTGTTCTTTATAAAAGCACCAAAGGCATTGTTTTTATCTTTATAACACAGAATATACGCAATATTGATACTCGTATATTGAGTGCACATGCAGCGTGTTCGAATGTCCAATTGTGACTAAAGCGAATTGTGGTCAAACACCACAATATAAGCGGATCACTTTTGGGCCGCGAGTGCCGTATCTTTCCTTTTTGGTTTAATCTAAGGCAGAGAATCTATAACCATATTGTCGAAAATAATGGACCTAATCAGAAAATAGGTCTTCTATAAACAGACCCATACCTGCATGAAATTGTCTAGTCTCTAGAAAGAGGGAATGGTTTTTTAATAAACAGGGAATTTACTGAGCCATAGCTTTGTTAAATGTAGTACTATCTTTCTAGAAAAAGGAGGAAAGGCATCGTGTTACCAACAAACAGAAAAATAACTTATAAGACACTAATTTGTCTATGACTTATTTACGGGATTGTTACCATGTACCTTGTTTTTAGCGAGTTTCCGATATTTCGGCACCGTTGCAAGAGCCATGATCACGGAGTCACTGAAGTAATTGCGGGTAGGCTGTTATTGGCAGACATATCGGTCTACCCTCGTATGTGTAAAACCGGAAATAATAAAAAAAGTGTCGTGTCGCGATCCGATACTGTAAGTGTTGTGTGTCGGGAACAGTTTCGAGTGAATAGTGAGAATGTGAACAGTGGTACGGGTATCGAACGCAATAAAAGACTTCGTCGGAAGGTAGACCGATATGTCTGCCAATAACAGCCTACCCGCAATTACTTCAGTTACTCCGTGATCATGGCGCTTGCAACAGTGCCGAAATGGTAGCAATCCCGTAGATAACTTATATTTCTATAATGTTAGTGACCATGAAAGTTTGAAACAATATACTAATTTGTCTAGTCTCTGGAAAGGGGCAATAGTTCTTTAATAGACTGAAAATTGTTTGAGTAATAACTGTAGGAAAGGACAATGTTAAAATTGGCCTAAGAACCAACACCAATTTGGCATTTATGATAATTCTAAGTATATTTTATGCGATATTTATCAGTATTTAGATTGTGACGGACACTTCCAGTTAAGTAAGCTAAATTAAAAAGTTAAAAAATAATCTGGACAATAAATACCATTTTATGTGTATAATCTATGGCAGCGCTGCATACAAAACACTCTTTCTTCCTAATGCCGGCACTTCACTTGGCTATTCGTATTTGCTATTTTAAAACATGACATCAGTCTGTCCTTTTCATTCCTTATTAAGCATGACAAGGACAAACTGTTGTCAAGTGAAGGGCCGGCATAAAACTGTTACTCTGTGGTTATGGTGCATGCAGTTTGCATTCGTAGTAATCTGTGGCATTCGTGCATTCCAAAGAGAAGTATAATAATACCGGAAAGTGCATTCTCGTTTCGGATTACCTGTTTCGTGTGTTTATTTGCGATTGTTTTTCCTTTAATTCAACTATTTCGGCTATCTAATATGCGATCGATGTTACCAAAAAGCAGAGCCCTTATTACTAAGTGCTAGTGAACCTGTGCCACAACATCCTGAGAGGACCATACTGCCAAATTATTCAAGAACACCTGATACACATTCTCGCTGCATATTTACACAATATACATGTGATATGCAAATAAATACAATAAACAATATGATACAATTATGTGAAAAATAGTCAATATATAAGAAGCAAAACTACAGTTTTTATTTTATTCATGATTCCTACCTAACCAAGTTTTTCCTAATAGTTATTCTTTGAAATCGCACCGAATAAAATGAATTAGTTGTAATATTAATTCAATTCATACTGAGTTCATACTAAATTCATAGGTTGACCTATGTTTCATTGAATATTAAACATAACCTCTAATAATTTAAGTTCTCAGAAGTGTCCGTCAATAATCTTTATTTTTACAGTCATTTACTTACGATTTTGAACCTAGAAAATAATATTTCATGATTGTTGGTTCTTAGGCTAACTATGTATGGACGCTGAACAATGTCCTTTATAGCTTTCTTAGAAACACAGAAAGTAATATTGCGCGATAAACAGACAGAAAAGCGTCTAAAAGATTAGTACTAACAAATCATAATCAAAATCATTCATTCAGTTTAGGCTGTTACAAGCACTCATGAATGTCTAGAAGCTACGCCATCGGTTCGTAAATCTACTGCGGGAGACCTTGTACTGAGAAGAACCGGCAAGAAACTCAGCAATGGCTGTCTTTTTCTCCCTGTTTTATTATTTACAATGTCGTCAAGTTGAAAAATGACTTTAGAGATGAATCATGAAGTCAACCTTTCATTATATAATGATTAAATATACATTAATTGTTAACCTGCATTTTGATTGCTGTGTCATACAGTATAAATTCGACTAAGAAAAGAATTCTATTTAGAATGCAGTCTTTTGTTTGACCACACGTTTTCTAAATGTTTTGAGTATGACTAAAATTAGTTTTCCCTCTTCCTTTGTGACTAAGTTACTATTTTACAGTTGTTTGTACTCGGGACTTTGAAAAACTGTCATGCAAATACACAAATGTTCATTAAAAATACGCAAGCTTGCCAAAGAGTACAGGACAATTAAATGGAAACGCAGATTATCCGAATTGATTGGGACCGAGGTCGATTCGGATAATCGGACATAGACTGGTAATAAGGGGCCGTTCATAAAATACGTCACGCTAAAATCAGCTTTTTCACACTTGATAGTACACAAATTTTAAGAATTTAAATATTTATTTAGTTTTTATAATAAAATTTAAATATATAAATAAATATCTTTTCATAACAAATAAATAAATCATATTTCTATTAATCAGAAGTCCAAGGATTCTGTAAATGCGCTGAAATATCTATAATCGGTATTGCAACATCTTCTTCTTGATTTTCAAAACTACCGCCCACTTCATCGTCATCTATCCATTCTGCATTTTCTGTACCAGCTTGTAAAACAAAGAAATCGATTGTCACGAATTGTAACGCTGCTAGAGTCAAGTCAATAGGCTAGAGCCGCGCCACGGAGCTAGCGCTAATGTCGAAAAATAAACATGAGTAAATATATCGAGTTACAATTTATTGTATAATAAAACTATATACGTTTGAATGTCTATATGTTTACTAAATACGAAATAAATGATTTTCTATCTTGATGAAAATTGAGAAAGAAAAATAGCTGAAAGAAATACTAATTTTAAAAAATTTAATGAACGAAGAACGTCACTTGCCGTAGACCCCCCGTCCCCCTTGTCACATCTTGTCACAGTTAGCAAGACCCCTCCCCCTCCCCCCTTGTATGCGATCGTATTTTATGAACGGCCCCTAAAGAAAAACTAACTGTCACACATAGAATCAACCTTATAAGTTTATTTTTAACCTTTACTAAAATATTTGTTTCTTAGGTTTTAACATAAGAAGGAGATAGAAAGCCTCTCTTGAGTTTGTTTCGCCGGTTCTTCTCAGAAAGGCCTTCCAATTTTGGAACTGGTGGTAGTTTACGGTAGTTAGGGTCAAATAAATAAACTCAAAATTACAAAAAAGAATTTGAAATAAAATACTTTGTTAAGTAAATTAAATTATAAATTCATATATAGACAATAAAACTTAAAAATCGAACAATGAAATAACCAAACGCTCAATAAAAGTCTTTCGAAAGTAGCTCGACAAATTAAATAAAAGTTTTTTCTGACGACGAAGCCTGTAAAGGCTACGAAACGTCAATAAATAAATAAAGTTTCGTGCATTAACCCGTAAAAACTAGCTTTACTAAAATGTTAATTCTGTGTCGTATTGTGATATTACAACATTAATATAAAGTTTTGTCGTGCATGCCATAAATGTGTCGTGTTTTGTTACAGGGACGTTAAATCAACATAAGAAGTGACAAAAAATTTAACATAGTATTTTTAAGCTCTTGTTTCAAAATTAATTTTATTAAGCATCCCTGTCGTGTAGTGACTATCTACGTGAAATTGGCGGAATTGTGTGTAAATCCCCGTTAAGCCTTTAAAAAAGAAGAAGTTTATTAAACACAGTTTTACAATACTAAATACAATAATAGAGGTACACAGAAGAAAAAAAAAACCGCGCCACGCAAAACATGAAGTGTCTTGCCTCTAGCTTTCAACCATAACAGTTGAAATATATCTGGAATCCAGCGAGTTCCAAGTTGTTACAACAAAACATAACAAAAATAACTTGGTTTAATTTTTTTAAATAGGGATGATGACTAACTTTTTTTTTTCTTTGTTTATCAGGTAGATTATCAAAAAGTATTGGACACTTATTTTTTCTTTTTTCGCATAATATAAACATTGCAGAGATATATTGATTTGAAAATTCGCATGACGTCACGTTTGAGTACACTTATAAGCGAAAATTCACTCAAAAGAGACGTCACGAGCCCCTACTCCCAAACTTTCGACGCGCTATAACTTTGTCATTTTTTGGTTGATTGCCCAAAGAAAAAATACGTGTCCATTATTTTTTGATCATCTAACTGACGGACTAAATGGAATTTCGTTTACTGTACCCCGTCATCACCCCTATTACGCTTAGGGGCGATTCGGATAATCGGCGTCCTAATGTACTTATTTTCCAAAGAGTACGTGGCAACACAATAGGGAATACTTATCGCAATAAAAATCATATTTTCGTCATACATACATTTGCACCGCCGGGATTCAAACCCAGGACCACAGTCTCTATAGATTCCATCCAGAGGGAAGGCCTGTGCCCCAGCAGTGGGTACATTAATACGCTGATTATAATATGATAATGATGACGATATGAAGTTTTTTTTTTTATATAGCCAGGTATGCAAATGACTCTATCCCACCTGATGTTAAGTGGTGATAAAGTCCAAACGCGAAGATAGCTGGTACAGCAGTTATAAACTGCTACACCAACCATCCTCACCTTGCCGGCCTGCAAAAATGCTTCTTCACGCCTCTCTTAAAGGACCCCAGATTGTAGGAAGGAGGGAAGAATTGATGATGATAACTCACCCCTTATCAGCATGCCGGTCTCGCTGCAGTCGGCATCTTCGTCTCCAGATCTATGCCAAGAACCGTTGCAACCGAAACGACGGCTTTCGGGGAATTCTGAGCAACAATAAAATGGAATATGTTGAAATTTTGAACTACTAAGTTACATCAAAAAGTTATAGTTTCAAACCATTTAAATAGAATAAATCTAATATATAAAATTCTCGTGTCGCGGTGTTTGTGGTTAAAATCCTCCGAAACGGCTTTCCCGATTCTCATGAATTTGTGTGCATATTGGGTAGGTCTGAGAATCGGACAACATCTATTTTTCATCCCCCTAAATGTTAAGGGTAATCCACCCCTAACTTTTTTTTTCAATTTAAGATATTTCTTTTTTTTTATTTATTTATGATACAGCATTAGTAAATACATATAACCCTGAATTTTCCCCCTTTTTCCACCAGCCCCCATTTTTATGGCGGTACGAAGTTCGCTGGGTCAGCTAGTAATGGATAAATATTTCCAACACTCACAACAATTAGTCTAGCCCCAAAGTAAGCACTGTAGGCTTGTGTTATGGGATACTAGGGTAACAGATAGAATACATATACTGATACATATATAAGTATATTTATATAGAAAATAGATATTAAACATCCATGACTGGAGTACAAATGCTCGTATTCATCACACAAATATCTGCCCCCACCGGGATTCGAACCCGGGGACCTCTCGAGTCGGCGACACCATGAAACCCGGCATACAAACCACTCGGCCACGGAGGTCGTCCTTATCTTAATATCATCATCATCATCATCAGCCTATTAATGTCCCCACTGCTGGGGCACAGGCCTTCCCTATGGATGGAATAGGGAGATTAGGGCCATGACCTACCACGCGGGCCCAGTGCGGATTGGTGGGTGCTAACGACTGCAAATGCAGCCGGGACCAACGGCTTAACGTGCCTTATGAAGCACGGAGGAGCTCGACATAGTAAATTTTTGGTCACCCATCCAATGACCGACCACTGCGAAAGTTGCTTAACTTCAACGATCGCAGCCGAACGCGCTAGCCACCTGCGCCATCGAGCTCCTCAATATCTCAATATCATAATATATAGACTTCTAAATTATTTCACCGATTTTAATCAAATTTGCACACCGTGTGCAGCTTAATCCAACTTGAAAGATAGGATAGCTTACATCTCAATTTATAGTCGCAATATTTTTTTATTGCAAATTACATTTGGGCGGTACGAGGTTCGCCGGGTCAGCTAGTAAAACTATAGTTAGCGACAAACTTCTCGCGAAAAACCAAAAACAATACTTATTTATGATATTATACGCTGATATATTTGTGTATAATATATATTATTACTAGCTGTCCCAGCGAACTTCGTACCGCCATAAAAAAAATAGGGGTTGGTGAAAATTTAGGGTTGTATGTATTTTTGAATGATGTATCATAAAAAAATAAAATAAAAATATCTAAAATTAAAAAAAACAATTTAGGGGTGGATTACCCTTAACAGTTAAGGGGATGAAAAATAGATTACATCCGATTCTCAGACCTACTGAATATGCATATAAAATTTCACGAAAATCGGTCGAGCCGTTTCGGAGGAGTTTAACCACAAACACCGCGACACGAGAATTTTATATATTAGATTATTATGAAAATGGATCCGGCTCGAAGGACCAAGATGTCGGTGATGAAAGTCATCAGACCTCGGATCCCTGGTGTGGACTGTATGTAGGTTTCCGGATTCAAAATGCTGGTTGTTGCTTCACTACTTCCTTTATTCTTCTAGCTAGCACGATGATTGTTAAAAATGTTTAAAATAACATTATAATAAAACTAGCAAACCAGTGAACCAAATGTTCAGCAAAACCTGATTTAAAAAAAAATGTATTTAATTAATTGAGAACTTCGGAGATTTTGTGTGGTTTCGTTTGAAATTCGTGATTTCTCGAAAACCGGAAGAGCTACGCTACTCAAATCCGGTTTGTAGTCTCATCAGACTATTCTTAACTTATAACTTAAATATTCTCTTTATCTATCTCTTACGGTTTGGCCGCTGAAACAGCACCACAGACAGACAGACGGACGGACTTGTCTAATAGATAAGAGATGAATATAGTTATTCTCACCAGGCAACTGTTTCTCCATCAAGGTTCCCTGTTGCTGCAGCCTACAGAATCCACCCTCGTGTACTATACGGTATACTCGAGTACTGGGTACAGTGCTTATGTTTGAGGAGGTTATGACGGCTGTACTGCAATCCTGGGGAGACATAAATACATTTTAGAATATATTTTTTAAGCATTTAACTGCTGTGAAGCTCGATGGCGCGGGTGGCTAGCGCGTTCGGCTGCGATCGTTGAGGTTAAGCAACTTTCGCAGTGGTCAGTCATTGGATGGGTGACCAAAAATCTTCTATCTCGACTGCAGATGCAGCTGTCGGTCCCGGCTGCATCTGCAGTCGTTAGCATCCGCCAATCCGCACTGGGCCCGCGTGGTGGGTCATGGCCCAATCTCCCTATTCCATCAAGGGAAGGCCTGTGCCCCAGCAGTGGGGATATTAATAGTGTAGGAAGGCCAAAGGGGAAGATCTTCCTCCGAACTGGGTGATGGTAGCTCGGGGGCCGCGGTCCGACTGTTTTTTTTGAAGTTATACTTCTTTAGGCGCGTTATGAAAAAATGATGAGATCGAAATTTTAAGATGCGCGCGCATCACTGTAACACAAAATTTTAACAGCATGAAGTTGGTCGCTAAAGCGTTACTTTTGTGTTTACCGCACATTAAGAAAATCTACCAACAAAATAGAAATAGAATCTCTATTTAGTGGGTGCTAACGACTGCATTGTGAAGGCCTATCAAAAGTATTTATTAATCTGGAACAACGGAACCAAAGCGCGATTCAGGAGACTACAGCGCCATCTCTTGACCATTGGTGTAGTAGAACCAAAAACCACATCTTTATTTTTTGTAATAAAGTAACAGTTATAGGTATTCATATTTATAATATTTATCCACATGTTTCTAGTTTGTATATTCGGAATACGTGTTTGAGTTTCATACAAGTGCAAATCACATATGTTCTAATAAATTATATTCAGTAGCGATTTTAATTGAATATTTTGATTATTTATTTATTTTTTCAAATTAAAACTGAACTTTATTGACTGTGTCCTTTTCCAGACTTTTTATTAATTTATTGTAATTAATTATTTGCATGCAATTAAAAACTAATTTTAAACGATGCCAAAGAAGGACTCACGCGCCTACATAAGTACACGCACCCATTTTTTTTAGTGTGTATGCTGTTGGTCGCAGATGACCTTTACAGCATCACCGGGTTTGGGGGACGGCGAGATCCTAAAGGGACTTCAAGCCGAGAATTATCGAGCCTCTAGAGGAGAGGTATTTCAGGCGGATGGCATCTCCCCACGAGGGGAGCCTCCTCTCCGTCTGGAGCCTCTAGACCACGAACATCTGAGGAGATTTGGCCCGACTAATGTTGGTCGGGCATCGTATATATGGAGTGTTAGCCTCCGAATTTTACTTGCGCGATTTAGGCTTCCATACGTATTGATCGAGGAGCTCGATGGCGCAGGTGGCTAGCGTGTTCGGCTGCGATCGTTGAAGTTAAGCAACTTTCGTAGTGGTCGGTCATTGGATGGGTGACCAAAAATTTACTATCTCGAGCTCCTCCGTGCTTCGGAAGGCACGTTAAGCCGTTGGCCCCGGCTGCATTTGCAGTCGTTAGCACCCACCAATCCGCACTGGGCCCGCGTGGTGGGTCATGGCCCAATCTCCCTATTCCATCCATAGGGAAGGCTTGTGCCCCAGCAGTGGGGAGATGAATAGCCTGATAATGATGATGATGACGTATTGATCGCAACGCCGGTGGCGCCATCTCTTGAGGAGGCGAGTGACTATTTCCTCCATGTTGATTATATGTGGGGGCATGTAAATGTCACCGCCACAATAGGCTAACGATGATGATGATGATATCACTAACCTGATCAATATCTACGGTGCAGGATTGTCCGACGTTGGTTAGCAGGGTGACAGCGTTGGCCCTTGGCGGGGAATAAGGGGCTACATACAGATGTCTTTCTAAAGGTGTCTCACGGAGCCCTACGAAGAACACCAGCTTTCTGGCCTCATCCACCTGAATGAAGGTGATAAGTAAATAAATACACACATCAAAAGAAATTCATGATACCACAATGAAGAACCAAGTAAGGCTGGAAAGTAACACGAACGAACTGGCAGCCAACTGTATACAGGAGTCCGAAATAAAACTTTAGCGTTTGGTTGTGTTCCTTGTATAGAATTGCCTACGAAAGTTTGACGCCTTTCAGACCACTTTTATTTTCTAATTTAATTAATAAAAATATCGTTTTACACCTGCCTATGACAACCCTATAAATGCGTACAATTACTACTACCTAAACCGACCCCCCACCTCTCCCCCAGGCACCCCTGCGCCCCGCTAAGATACCTACAATTTTTTATTTCGGAATACATACCTACAAATTTTATTTCGGAATTCTGTAACACCCTGTATATATATATAAAGGTTTACTGCTCGTTCCCCGTAGGTGATAGCGTGATAATATATAGCCTATATGTTGACCCGACTTCTTAATAATATTTGTGCCAAATTTGAAGAGAATCCATGCAGTACTTTTTGAGTTTATCCCGGATATACATACAGCCAAACAGACAAAAATAGGGTATTTGACAGTGTTAAAAATAAAGTGCCAATTGTTATCATCTGTGTTTAGAATGAATATTGGCAGGGGTTTTTACTATTTTTACAAGAGAAATATTCATAATTTTACTAAAAACTAACGAAAAAGATAATAGTTTTCTTATCTATTGTCACGTGACCCAAAACGCTTGGGATTGGCGGAGCCTAAAATGACGTCACACGCAAGTAAACTTCCGGTTAACGTGACATTATATTGTATCGTTTGACGTTTTAATAACAGTCGTGTGACATCACACACTAGTAAGACGCCATATTGTCCAGAGAAACGTTTTTGCGGCAACATGATAATGTTGCTTTTGTTTTGGTTATTTTTACTGAAATACGTAACAGAATGATGAATATCCACTTTTTACGGACTCCATAAACATTAGTCAATAACGTGAGATCGTTTTGTAAAACTTGTCAAATACCCTATTCTAAAAACTATACTTTTTGGCTTCGGTATCGGGATCACACCCAAAGTATTCTTTTAAAAAAATATTCAATATACAGTTTTCACTTTCCTACCATTTTATTATATGTATAGGTAAAGGTTAATTTTGTTACAACTGCCTTAGGAACTGCAATATAAAGCCATCACTCGTTTAATGCGATTCAAATAAGAATAGGAAAGCCAATGAGCTCTATCTGTCAAATGTCGCTTGAAAAGTACGGTTTGCAAAAAAAACTTGGAACCCTTTTTTAGCACTCCGCTAATTCTAGAATAAAAACCAAACATTTGTAAACAAACAATAACAAATATTGATGATTAATATCGGTTGATATTTTTTTTCACTTACTGAGCTTTGGCCATGTCTTTTGGTTGATAACCTAAATCGTCAGCCAAATGTCACTTTAAGTTACGTTCAGAAACTCGATTTCAAACTTTCGTTTACATAAATTTACGTCTGTGACCTAGTAATAGTGCCTGATTATTCATAACTACTCCGGCGGTTATGCAGAGATGAGCGGAATAGAAGAGCTACATTCTGATTAATGTTTTTTCTCACAGTCTTAATAAATAAATGTTATTAAAAATCGGTGGTTTCTTTTCTCAATCTTAGTAAATAAGTTTTATTAAATAAAAACTTTTTTTTGCTCACTCTACCTACTACTTTGGTTTGAATTGACAGCTATGACATCACAATATGGCGCCCAGTCGGTCCTATTCCTAGTTGAATCGCATTATAGACCCATTACACTCACCCATATCTTCCGACCCATCACCTCCCACTCCCCGGCTGTGATGGCCTCCTTACTGATGATGTTGGGGCCCACAGCATTAGTCTCATCTTCGGTTATAATATCTATAACAGCTAAAAGGAAAAAATGCAAATAAATAAAAAAAAAATAACGAGCGAGCCTAAAAATAACAGTAGTCGCGTATGATGTGTAACATTTGAAACCTCACCTTATATTAGTAAAAAAAGAAATAAAACCTACTACAAAAGGAATAAGCCATTTGAACATTATGTTCTAAAATCAAATCAAATAGCGCGCGCTTCCCAAACTTCCTGTTACACACTTCCGTCCCACTTCACGTAATCACTCCCACAAATCGCACGAAAGCGAGAGGAAAGATGTTACACATCGAAAATATTACACTATTATTATTATATAAGCGAAAGTGTATGTGAATGTTTGTTACTTCTTCACGTCTAAACGGCTGGAGCGATTTTAGTAAAATTTGGTATGAAGTTAGCTGACACCCTGGATTAACATATTATAGGCTACGTTTTACTGCGGGAAAATATCCTTAATAAACCGCGGGTCACAGCTATTATATATTATAGTTTCAACGTATAGATGCACTGATTTATTTATTTAAAAATATCCTTAATCAACCGCGGGTAACACCGCGGGGCACAGCTAGTATATAATTGGTGTGAGTGTTGGAAATATATAACATATAAATAATAGGTGATACGAAGATATTGGTGTCGTTCTGAATTCTGACATGATTAAGTAAACCTAAACTTAAATAAATAAATAAATATTTCCAACACTCACACCAATTAGCCTAGCCCCAAAGTAAGCACTATAAGGCTTGTGTTATGGGATACTAGGGTAACGGATAGAATACATAATACTGTACATATATAAGTATATTTATATAGAAAATACATATTAAACATCCATGACTGAAGTACAAATGCTCGTATTCATCACACAAACATCTGCCCCCACCGGGATTTGAACCCAGGACCTCTCGAGTCGGCGACACCATGAAACCCGGCGTACAAACCACTCGGTCACGGGGGTCGTCGTCGTAAATTCGACAACAGTGTATCTTTGTCATTCTCTATACAGAATGAAAAAGAGAGACTGATGTGACTCGATGTTGTGAGCGTTGGAAAAATTTATTTGTAGACTAGCGGATACACGCGACTTCTTCCGCGTTAAATTTTAGTTTTTTTATCTAAAATAAAAGATTTTTTCTAAAATAAAAGTTGACTAAGTTACTCCTTATTACAACAGCTACCTGCTAACAAAAGTCCCGTCAAAATCGGTCCAGCCATTTCAGAGATTTGCCGAAACAAACAGACAGACATACAAAAACTGTAAAAAAAATATTTTGGTATACGTACCGTATATATATTTATAATGCATGCATTATGGAGTCAAAGGTACTGCATATAAATTGATACAATCGTACCTCAGTTCCAGAATACAAACTGTAGAGGTAAATGGTGTTAGATCATCTGGATCTCATGTGGAGATGCGCGTTCCCCAGGGTTCAATTTTAGGTCCCTTCCTGTTTCTAGTATATGTAAATGATTTGCCATTATTTGTGGAAAATTTGTGTCAGTTTGTATTATTTGCTGATGACACATCTTTATTATTTAACGTTGACAGGCGCAAAAACAACTATGACGATGTGAATAATGCTCTCTCGCAAGTTCTGCAATGGTTTAATGTCAATAATCTAAAGCTAAATGCTAATAAAACCAAGTGTATTCAATTTTCCTTACCTAATGTAAAAGTTGAGCATATTGGAATTAAATTAAATAATGAAAAATTAGATTTAGTAGACTCGACTACATTCTTGGGCATAACGATAGACTCAAAACTGCAATGGAGTCATCACATTACGCTTTTGGCTGGTAAACTTAGTTCAGCAGCTTATGCCATAAAAAAGATAAGATAACTTACTGATGTAGATACTGCCAGGACTGTATATTTTAGTTACTTTCATAGTATCTTATCATACGGCATTTTACTCTGGGGAACAGCAGCTGATATTGAAAGTATATTTTTTACAAAAAAGAGCTGAGAGATCTATTTATCAATTGAGTAGCCGAACATCTCTTAGAGAAAAATTTAAAGAAATTGGCATTTTGACTGTTGCTTCTCAATTCATTTACAATTGTATACTCCTCGATAAAAATAATATCAATTTGTATACCAAACACAGTAACGTGCACAATTTTAACACAAGGAATAGAAACAAGCTTGCATTGCCACCCCACAGGTTACAGAAGGTTTACACTTTTATGGATCAAGGTATACATTTTTACAATAAAATTCCTGATGCTGTTCTTGAGTTACCCATAAATGAATTCAAATGTCACATTAAAAGTTGTTTACTTAAGAAAAGCTATTATACTATTAAAGAATACTTGAATGACAAAACTGCATGGCTGTCACTGCAAAATTGTCGTACAGATAAAGTACCTTAACTGTAAGTAACTATTTTGCAGTTTGGTTTGAGTGGTTATGGGTAGTCATGCTCTTTTAAAAATCTCTTCGGCGGTGTAGTGTGAGGCAGGTCGTTGCGTTCCCGAACACACATGCGAACACCGAAGCGAGGCGAGGGCGGGCCGCTAGTATATATATATATATATATATATATATATATATATATTTAGATTACTTACATCTCATCCTATCCTTCTTGGAGCTGAGTTGGCAGGTGACTTTATACAAGTGAAGATGTGAAGTCTCCTCCGAAGCCCATATGAAGCTGACTTGGTTGTCCGCAGACGGTAGAAAATGCAGTATGTCGTGAACGTTGATCCAAGCGTCTGGGGCCGCCTCTGATATCAGAACTTGGATATCTTGGATTTTCTAGAAGAAACATGACCTATCAAGTAATTTAAAAGAAAAAAAAATGGTTGCCTGTAAAGTCGGTTTTACGGGCGAAGATTTTACGTGACAACGTCTTTTTCTCGGTAGAATATTTATTGATATGAATATAATTAAATTGCACAATAGGAACAAGGAATTGAATGAAAATAAGAATTGCACAAATTTTAACTATAGAAATATATATAATACGTCAAAAAAACATATTACAATGCATTGTGCTTGTGAATACCATCGTAGCATGCAACCACGCTACGACGATTCGTAGCAAACTTGCTACACGGCTACGGGGTTCCAGCATGCTACGAGACTCATCGTAACGTTACCGAGCGTTACACTTTTTCATAAGTGACTCCCAGCCGCAACCTAATTTAAGACGTTGTCACGTCAAAAACTAGATAAAAATTTAGTTTTTGTCAAACCATACCGTTTTCTATTAAAAAGTGTATTTTTTGACGTGACAACGTCTTAAATTAGGTTGCGGCTGGGAGTCACTTATGAAAAAGTGTAACGCTCGGTAACGTTACGATGAGTCTCTCGTGTTAAGTTTAAGTTTACATGTACAATGTTTTAGTAAACAAAATATATTTCTATAGTTAAAATTTGTGCAATTCTTATTTTCATTCAATTCCTTGTTCCTATTGTGCAATTTAATTATATTCATATCAATAAATATTCTACCGAGAAAAAGACGTTGTCACGTAAAATCTTCGCCCGTAAAACCGACTTTACAGGCAACCATTTTTTTTTTTTAATTTATAAATCAACCAGTTGAATGATTTGAATAACAATGTAATATGCAAAAAGTATTCTCTGCATGTCTAGAGGAGCTTAATGCGAGTTCGGCTGCGATCTTTCAATTTAAGCAACTTTCGCAGTGGTCGGTCATTGGATGGCTGACAAAAATCTCTCGCTCCTCCGTGCTTTGGAAGGCACGTTTAGGCGAGACGTTGGTCCCGGCTGCATCCGCAGTCGTTAGCACCCACCAATCCGCACTGGGCCCGCGTGGTGCTATCTGTGGTATCTGCTTTGCTGAGAATGCCCTCTCCGACTCAACACTGGTTGGCAACAGCGTGACTAAGCAATAGGCTAGATGACTCATGTCGAATTGTATTAAATAAATGTTTATTTCTTAAAGTATTTGGTCTAAGGAACCTAAATATATCGATTTCACTTCATAAAAGCAGAAGATTGCTGTAGAAATTTAATTTAAAAAATATTTTTTAAACACTAAAAACGCTGTTCGCTACATCCATGATTGTGACGTCTCTTGTAGTAGTAAACAACGAAATGTCATTCGCGTGTTACTGTGGGTGGATTCTTTCGTCTGACTAAATTTATCTTGAAACACTTTTAACTTTAGAAAAGTTTCCGTTTACTGTTTTTTTTTGACAAAACTAATTATGGATGCCGGCTTTGTGGAAGCAGAAAGCACAAATCTGCCAAGAATTGACGCATTGACGGTTGGTGAATTTTTTGCACTAAACCCCGATTTCTGCTGCGGAGCAGAGAAACGACAAGGCATCTATGTAAGTACAGTGCATTTAGTATTACAATGTAGTAATAAACATAAAACTGATACAACATATGAATAAGTGTAATAAAGTTGCGTAGGTTAATTTCTTTCGGCACTTTAATCCACAAGTTTCCTGGAGTCTTCAAGAATGTGTTTTTATATTCTCGTACAATACAATAATGATAATTACTTTATTGTATGTGGTATTTATTAGAAACCATGTTTTTTTTTTATTATAAATTCAGATAAGTTATTTTCTACGTGCTTACGAGATTTTGTTTACAACAGGTTGACGTCATAGCATAGATAATCTATAGACTAAAATAGCCGACAGCGTTTTTGTATGTCCATGAAGAGTCTATTTTAAAATTAAAGATTTGTAGCTTTCTAGGTCTCAAAAAAATACAATACATTTTTTGTCGGGATAATAGAACATTTATTAACCATTTAAAACCTTTTTCCAAAAAGGGTCAACTAGCCTATTATATGCAAACTGCAAAAATCTCCCCCTTGTTCCTCCACACTCAAATAAATCCATTTCTTTATTTATCAGGTATCTGGTAAGTCTGGATACACGTGTAAAAGGACTTTTAGACGCTCGCAGAGTTTCTTCAAATTCCTCTTTAAGTGAAGTGCAGCGAGCGAATGTGTGTAGCATCGCTGACCATTGCCGCGCAATCCCGTCAATCTAGAACGGGATCTCGTCATATTATGCATCGGGATTGATCCCGAAAAATTAGACGGGATCTCGCGGGATTCCGATCTCGCGGGATTGCATTCCCTAGTCTGTATGCGTGTGTACGTGTTCGTGTGTGTGTGTGTGTGTGTGTACAAATGCACTTTTTATCGGCTAGTAAGTAAGATTAAGAAGATTAATCGTTTACCTCAGCCCCATGTGGGTCTGGTATGAAAGGCGGTCTCGACAGATGCGCTGGCGCATTGTCATATCCCGAAGGAACGTTGAACTGTTGCACCGGGATCAAGGCTAATTCTAGACGCTGTTGCTTGCGATCTAAAAGCTGGCACCAAACGCTGAAAAGAAAACGAACTTTTATTTATTTCTAAAGTAAATTTTACTGGAAAAAGCCTGGGACCAGGTAGCAGACAGGACTCGAACCCGTACGCTTCGCTATCCGGGCGATACGACACTCGCGGCTCAAAAGCGATCCGCTTAAATTGTGGTGCATGACCACAATTCGCTTCAGTCACAATTGGACATTCAAACACGCTGCATGTGCACTCAATATAACAATATTGCATATATTCTGTTATAAATTTAGTGATAAAATTGATTTACACTTTGATAGTCCCAGTGCAGTAACTTCAGCTATTAGTAGGAACTTGACAGACTGAGTGCCAGAGATGTTTATTTTTAATTTTAGATCCTTTATCTTTGTAATGACCCTTTTTTGGACAAAATAACATATAAGTTAGGGTATATTAAGTAAAATTTTAACACATACTGTTTGATATAGATATGGTAAATGTGGTGTTTACCTATAATTAATTGTAACATTGATATAAGTGTCTCCGTGTCTATAATTCAAAATGTCTAAAAAAAAGACAAAACATTGCCTTCGATGCTTTTATAAAGAACAAAATTAGTTCAAGATCAAATAACAAATTTCACGGCAATACTTTTTATTCGTATAACTATGAAATCATTTTATCCCCAAAAAACACGGTTTTTTATGAATATTATTTACTTTTTCGCAATTTGTTATCAAGAAAAGGACAACAATACAGCTCAGCCATACGGACTCGGAAGCGGTCTCGCCGTTTCGCTCGCGCTGCGTTGCAGCGTACAGTTCTGTCTCGCTCGCTCGATTGAATGTTTATATACATACGTGTGCGTATGTGAGAGTTGCTTATGTAGTTGAGTCGGATCATATTTTATTTGATGCTAGTATGAGCGTACCGTATCTTCCCTTTTTGGTTTAATCTAAGTATGCAAGTTGTCAGAATATGTTAAAAGTACTGCCGCTGGTGTATAATACCTATACATCTAAATGAAATTTAAAAAAATGTACAGAAAACGCATGACAGAACGACCTTTCATAATAATAATTATAAAAATATCATCATCATCATCAGCCTGTTAATGTCCCCACTGCTGGAGCACAGGCCTTCCCTATGGATGGAATAGGGAGATTGGGCCATGACCCACCACGCGGGCCCAGTGCGGGTTGGTGGCTGCTAACGACTGCAGATGCAGCCGGGACCAACGGCTTAACGTGCCTTCCGAAGCACGGAGGAGCTCGAGATAGTATATTTTCGGTCACCCATCCAATGACCGACCACTGCGAATGTTGCTTTAATTCAACGATCGCAGCGGAACGCGCTAACCACTGGCCACAATAAAAATATATATTAACACAATTACATAATTTAAAAAACATAAAATTAATCCTTGCTTTCAAATTTCAAATCGTCTCACTAAAATGTGACGCTTAATTCGTGACGTGGAATTAAAAAGTTACCCTCAGCGCGTGCAAAGAAGTTTTACTACAATATTTTTTTAAAGTTTTGACGACCTCCGTGGCCGAGTGGTTTGTACGCCGGGTTTTATGGTGTCGCCGACTCGAGAGGTCCCGGGTTCGAATCCCGGTGGGGGCAGATGTTAGTGTGATGAACACGAGCATTTGTACTCCAGTCATGGATATTTAATATGTATTTCTATATATATATGTAAAGTACATGTATTCTATCCGTTACCCTAGTATCCCATCACACAAGCCTTACAGTGCTTACTTTGGGGTTAGGCTAATTGGTGTGTTGGAAATATTTATTTATATATTATTATTTATCCGTCCTTTAAAATTTAAAATCGTCGCACTGAAATCTGACGCGGTCTTGAAAAGTTACCCTCATCGCACGCAAAGCAGTTTCACTTCGATAAATGAAATAGGGATGATGACTAATTTTTTTTCTTCGTTTATCAGGTAGATTGTCAAAAAGTATTGGACACGAATTTTTCTTTTTTCACATAATATAAACATTGCGGAGATATATTGATTTGAAAAGTGGCATGACGTCACGTTTTGGTACAATTTTCACTTCAAAGTGACGTCACGAGCTCCCAAAACTACTCCCAAACTTTGACGCGCTATAACTTTGTCATTTTTTGGTTGATTGCCCAAAGAAAAAATATGTGTCCATTATTTTTTGATCATCTAACTGACGGACTAAATAGGATTTCGTTTACTGTACCCCGTCATCACCCATATTGAATTGATAACGTCACTTACAATTGTCCACACGGTGTCCATCCGACTCTTGCCAAATATTCGAACCACGGAAAGGCTTCCTTGAGCGAAGTCCGAAGTTCGTACCATCGTATGTCTGTCACTTCTGTGGACTCGCTATCTGAAGCTTGTGAACAAAATTAGATATTAACATAAAAAATCAGGTGATATTATAGTAATCGGTCATTGGATGGGTGACCAAAAATCTTCTAACTCGAGAGTTCCTCTGTGCTTTGGAAGGCACGTTAAGCCGTCATTAGCACCCGTAAACCGCACTGGGCCGGCGTGGTGGGTCATGGCCCAATCTCCCTATTCCATCCATAGGGAAGGCCTGTGCCCCAGCAGTGGGGACATTAATAGGCAGATGATGATGATAGTAATTTGTTATTTACCCTTTTTCTTTCCTAAACCTCCTCGCTTGCAACAGTGCTGAAATATCGGAAACTCGCTAAAAACAAGGTAAATGTGTAAGAATCCCGTAAATAACATCACATCAAACTGCCTATTAATGTCCCCACTGCTGGGGCACAGGCCTTGCCTATGGATGGAATAGGGAGTCACCACGCGGGCCCAGTGCGGATTCAGCCGGGACCAACGGCTTAACGTGCCTTCCGTAGCAAGGAGGAGCTCGATATAGTAAACTTTTGGTCACCCATACAATGACCGACCACTGCGAAAGTTGCTTTACTTCAACGATCGCAGCCGAACAGCTGCTAATATTCATATTAAATACCGATCCCAACAATTGGTACTTTATTTTTCATACTGTCAAATAGCCTTTTAAGTAAAGATCAACTTTTTTTTTTTTTATCTTATAGGGGGCATACGAGCAGACGGCTCACCTGGGGGCCAATCGCCTAACTGGATTGCTTTGGAAAACGCTATCGCTTACGATTTCATTTTGTTATTTCTAACCGCCGAAATACCTCACGCTCATTTTCTTTAACATTGTTATTACCAATGCAAAAGAAAAAAAAAGAGCGCGAGGCATTTGAAAACCTCAGGGGGCTAGAAATAACAAAATGAAATCGTAAGCGATAGCGTTTTCCAAAGCAATCCAGTTAGGCGATTGGCCCCCTGATGGTAAGTGATCACCGTCGCCCATTGACACTTGCAACACCAGGAGTATCACAAAACTTTAAATATCACTTTTCGGCACTATAAGTCTTTACTCATAACTGATGTATAATTATGTAATATACCTGTAAACGACTGTTTGCTGCCAAAATAAAGAGAAAAAAAAAAACTTACTGGGTATATCAGCTGATTCTTGGTAATAGTCCAAGACGGTAGACGGCGACGACTTCTGCAGTCTGAAGGTGACCATTTTCAGTACTGACTTCGCATTAGGAGTACCGGCTCGAGGAAATCTGTACCGAAAACAATCAATATGTGAAAGTTTGTATGTATGTGTATGTGTGTTACTCAACCACGCAGAAACTACTGAAAGGATATATTTTTATTTTGTTTTTATGCATTTAACTTTAAGCAATACTTATAATTTTTTTTTTAAAGCATGTAACTGCTTGATGTTTAAATCTAAAGAAAATATAACTAGAAAAAATTATAAATAGAAAAAATTCCACGCGGACCAGGCAGCAGACGGGACTCGAACCCGCACCTTTCGCAATTCGGGCGAATGCACTGACCAATTATGCTACCTGCTATTAGTAGCATTGCCCGGATTGCGAAGGATGCGGGTTCGAGTCCCGTCTGGTGCCTGGTCCGCATGGAATTTCATGTAGTTATATTTTTAAGCAATACTATTGAAATGTTAAACTTTATGCTACAGGCTATCCTAAGATTAATTATCACGGTCATAACTGCAAAACATTATTCTTTCATAAGAAAAAACATTATTTCTAGTAAACTTTTCTTTAGATAAAAACATTAATTATCAAATAAATATTTTTCCCTGAAAATGCCGTTTTATTGGTTATTTACACATATAAGTATCTCTAATACATAAATTCTCGTGTCACGGTGTGCGTAATTGAACTACTCCGAAACGGCTCGACCGATTTTCGTGAAATTTTATATGCATATTCAATAGATCTGAGGATCAGACAATATCTATTTTTCATCCCCATAAATGTTGAGGGGGAAGTTTTTACCCTTAAAATAATAAAATCATTTATTGCAGGTAGCCAAGACCCATATTTAAAACATGATACAATATAATAGATAAGAAAACTATTATCTTTTTCGTTAGTTTTTAGTAAAATTATGAATATTTTATTGTTGTAAAAATAGTAAAATCCCCTGCCAATATTCATTCTAAACACAGATGCTAACAATTGGCACTTTATTTTTAACACTGTCAAATACCCTATTTGTATTTTAATAATAATATTCAATGATGACGTATTGAATAAACATGTGAAAAAAGAAATACATCCATTATTAAAATCTAAATTATTTTAGAATTAGAATTAGAATTAGAATTTATTTATTTGCATAAGAATAGGGGTACACTGGAGATGTCACAAATATGAAGTTCGGCCCATTCTGCCATTTACAATAGCATGCAAATATCCAACACTGCATTAATTACATCAATATCATTAACAATCATTATGCCAACAATTTCACATACCATTAATAAATTCTTAAAAGCGAATTACATTATATTATCGTCATCAAAATTACAACTGTCTTAATTTATGTATATAATTTATGTATTATGTATATAAGATAGTCGATTAATAATGTCAATTATAGAAAAAAAAAATGCCAATCAAAATTCAATAGGATAAAATGTCAAACAAAACATAATAGAATAAAATGTCAATCAGAGTACAATAGAATAAAAATGTCAACCAAGTGCAGAATACAAATAATAAAACCTAAAACCTACTGTCACTAGCTGCAATCATTACATAAATATTCTTTAACACTATAAAACATCCTATCATATAGCCAACTGTACAAGGCAGTCTTAAATTTCTTATAAGGCATTTTTTTTATATAAGTTGGTAACTTATTGTAAATTTGCATACACATCCAATAACAATTTTTTTTGAATCTCATGCTTTTTGGAATGATTGCAGAAACCAATCTATCACCATTTCGTGTATTACGTGGATATATATCTACAGCTTGCCTGAAATAGTGCATATTTAACCTTACAAATTTAGCAACATCAAAAATGTATAGGCAAGGCAGTGGTAATATTTTTAAATGTTTAAATAATGGTCTGCATGGTTCATCAGGCGGAGTTCCACATATAGCTCTGATACATTTTTTTTGTGTAATGAAAGCCCTTTTTGCTTCTATACTATTTCCCCATATAACGATACCATATCTTAAAACTGATTCTACATACGCAAAATAGGCTGTAAGAGCAGTATTCCTTGTAGCTATTTTCGTCAACTTATAGAGAGCAAACATAAAACGGTTAATTTTATTACATATAGTATCCACATGTGTTTTCCAGTCTAATTTTTGATCAATTTCTATGCCTAAAAATTTGGTTGTATTTGCATTTTTAAGCTTTTGTCCGTGATAATTTATATTCAATGACTGACCAACGGAATAATTAAAATTTATGTAACACGTTTTATTAATATTAATAGTTAAATTATTATGTTGAAGCCAATTTATAATTAATCCAATTGTTTTTTCAATGTCATTTATATGGTCATCTATTGTCATTTTACTATCAGTTGTTATTACCACTGATATGTCATCAGCAAAAAGAATGCAACGATGTTCAGTTACTTCTGGAAGCTTATTAGAGTATACCAAAAAGAAGAGCGGCCCCGAAACACTTCCTTGTGGAACACCAAAATTATTCTCTCTAAAATTTGATTGATATGTTTGAACTATCTGGTTTCGGTCTAGTTGTGAGATTTCAACCGATTGCTTTCTGTTCCCCAAATAAGAACGTATCCATTTCAATGCAACGCCTCTGATACCACAGTGCTCCAATTTTGACAGTAGTAAATCGTGACGTACAAAATCGAATGCTTTCGACATATCAAAAAAGACAACTGTTGTGTATTTATTATCATTCAGGCTTAACATGGTTTCCTTAAATAAGTCAAAAACAGCATGAGTAGTAGATTTATTTTTTTGAAATCCATACTGATTTTGCTTTAATACCTGATATTTATCAAAAAATGAAGTAAGTTTGGCGTGCATGACGTTTTCGTAGATCTTAGATAAGATAGGTATCAGCGTAATAGGTCGATAATTGTCTATTTTAGCCTTATTATCCTTTTTGAACAATGGTTTCACTATTGACAATTTGAGCTTATCTGGAAATATACCAGATGTTAATGACATGTTTATTAAGAAAGCTAAAACATGGCTGATTTCCTCTTTACATGCCTTTATAACTTTCGTGCAAATGTCGTCATAACCTACTGAATTTGTATTGTTTAAAGATGTAATAATTTGTTTTACGTCATGTACGTCAATTGCGGTAAGATATATAGAATTGTTTAAAGTGTCATTACAGGATTCATTATTATTAATATTATTAGATTTATTAGTCAATTCAATAAAATAATCATTAAAAATGGTCGCAATTTTGTCAGGGCTATTGATAATATTATTCCGATATTCAATTGAGTCTATAAAATTATTACTTTGTGATTTGCTGTCAAATTCATCTTGTATTATTTTCCACGTAGCTTTACAAGTATTTTTACTTCTAAGTACGTATTTGTTGTTGCTTTGTTTTTTAGCTTGCAATATGCACTTCCTAAGCAATCTGGAGTATTTCTGATATTTAATTTTAGCATCGGTATTTCTCTTTTTGTAGAAGTCTTGGCGAAGAAATCTATTTTTAGCACAACTATTCCTAATTCCTTTGGATATCCAATTTAATTTTGATTTTGTATTGATTTTGAATTTAGAGATAGGAAAGCATAGCTTGTATAATAAACAAAACCAGTCGTAAAAAACATTGAAGGCCACATTTGGATTTATTTCATTATACATGTCAATAAATGATAGATTTGCTATAATTGATTTAAACTTTTTAATGTTTTCAGTTGAATAGCATCTTCGAAAATTAAAGATTACTCTTGGAATCATTGGTTTCTTTTTTATTTTAATAACCAGCACTTGGGCAGTATCATGGTCAGACAGACAAAGAGGAAGAGTTAATCCTGTAGCATTTCTTACATTACTAAATATATGGTCAATACAAGATAAGCCTCTAGTGGGTTCAGTTATATGTTGAGTCAAATTATAGTTTTTTAATATGTCAAATAAACTTTTCGTGACATTATTATTTAGCAATGTATTTATATTGAAATCTCCTACAATAACTATCTTATACTTTGGATATTTAAGAATATATTTATTTAATAGGAGTTCTAGTTTTTCAAAGAAACATTCAAAGTGTCTCTTTTTTGTAGCCGTGGAGGTTCGGTAGACACACAAGATAATTATATCACACATGGGGACCTGAATGGAACAGCATTCAAAGTGAAAGTTAACTGCTAGATCGTTACCTAAACATATTTTTTTATATGATATCCCTTTTTTAACCAGTATGCAGGCCCCCCCTCTTTTTTTGTTTCTTGAAAAGTGGGCTGCTAATTCATAGTTATATATATGAATGATCTTTTCCTCACCATTTTTTATAAAAGTTTCAGTGAAACATAAAACATCAGGAGACAAGTTATTTTTCAAATCTGCAATTGTTAATTCTATAATTTCTTTTTTTGATGTAAGACCTTGAATATTTTGATGGAAAATAACAAAACTTGGTACTGTATTGTCAACGAAAACATTTTGTTTTTATTTGTTCAGTATAATTGGTTTTGTTTCCTAGTGATTTTTGGGGAGGGAAGTAGTAAGGAATAGTACCTTTTTTTAATAAGATTACATTGGAATCACTGTATATTTTCTGTTTCAAGTTGTAAGAGTTATTGGATTTTACTGTTTTCATCATTTGCAGGGTATTCTGAATATAGTCTTGTCTGTATTTTATATAATCTATTTCTATATTTATTTTAAAACATATTTTATTAATTAAATGTATTTTATTATGAACACTGTGGTGTAATAATAGTTGTTGTGCATTGATGAAAGTGCAATTGTCATATTGGTTCACAATTATATGTAATTGAGAGTTTAATTTCTGCACATTGATGTAATTGTTATTTTGAACACTTAACAGAAATATTTTACATTTATTAAGACTGTACAATACGTTACAAAGGCTGGTAATAGTTGTGTATGGGTTTGAATCATTATTTCCTATAGATAATATCAATATGTCATCTTTATTCAGTAATTTGCTTAAATTGTTAAGACCATTTAAAACTTCTGTGCTGGGTGCAAAAGGTTTCACTATACTCGTAACAGTGTAATTGTCATTCCACTTTCCACTTCGCGTTTTTTTTAAGTTTTCTGCAAAACCGCGCAGTTGTTCGTCACCAAGGAGATAAATTACAGGTTTCTTGCATTTAATTAATTCTATGTTGACTGTTGTTTTGTTTTGAGGGAGACTTAGTGACTTGGTCGGTAAAACAGTTTCAGTTTGCCTATATGGAGTGCTTGTGAGACTTGACCGTTCGAGTATCTTCCCGTGGTTACTAGATGGCGTGATACACAGATTTTTATGGGTCTGAATACAATTTATTTCCGGTTCATCTGATGTAAATTCAAGTGCAGTTTGATTTAAGCTTTTTCTCTTTTTTCTCTGTGTGATATTTTTCTTTGAGCTTGAATTTATTTCAACTCCTCTTGTTTTTGTTTCTTGACTAGTTAGTAGTTTTTTTAGTTTTCTTTAAGCTTTTTGTTCTCTCTTTTCAGAACATCTATTCTTTCTTCGGTGTTTATCTTTCTAAGGTTTGATGAGTTATTACTTAAGTGACTGTTTTGTGATTGAGATAAAAAATCTGTGTATTCATCGCTTGATAAGCTTTCGAATGAATTCTGTGTGGATATGTTTATATTGTAGCTTTCTTGATTTGTTTTTGCATAACATGGGTCACATTTCCATGTGCTTTTATTTTCTTTAGTCATCAGGCAGAATCTTTTTGATGAAACATTTGCACAGTCTATATGATAACTTTGTAAACATGTAACACAACTTAAAAAATCACGTTTCAATATCATATTATTGCATTTATTACAATGTGTCTCCATCTTGCGGTTTGGTTGACAGTGTCACTTTAGGTAATTGAGTTGGGTTTATTTTTACTATTATGCTTGCGCGTGATGAAATGACTACTCTAGTGCTTTATAGAGGGCGTTGTAGTTGTGGTAAAATCAAACGTCTTTATTACGAGGTATTAATCGCTCAAGTCGCTTGCACAGAGCAATAATATTTCAAAAACTTCAACTGTTGATTTGGTCTTTTTTACCAAATATCTAAAAAAAAGGTTTTCAGTATATAATTGTTGAATAGATCTCTTAATACAAAGGAGAAACTCACATTTTTCATCTTATGCTTCGTTAAGATACAAATATTTCAATCCTTTTTAGTCACAAAGTCACAGTCACTTTTTTGTTATTTTTTTAACTTTCTATTCACTTTTTTCTGGAGATAACACTAGAGCTTTATATTTGAGCAATATTTTACACACCAATGCTAATTAAAATGATAGAAACCTTATATCTTGATTTTAATTCGCAAATATATACAGAGCCTATGTTTACGTGCTGACAGCGCCATCTGCAAGTTAACCACCAATGACGATCTCCGTGGCCGAGTGTTATGCCGTGGGTTCGGGTCCCGGTTTGGGTAAATTTTTGTGTGATGAATACGACCATTTGTACCTATTTGTTTCTTAGGTTTTCACGCACATCACTCATTAAATAAAACTAGTTTTTACGGGTTAATGCACGAAACTTTATTTATTTATTGACGTTTCGCAGCCTTTTCAGGTCTGCATCGTCAGAATAATACTGACATTATTCTGACGATGCAGACCTGAAAAGGCTGCGAAACGTCAATAAATAAATAAAGTTTCGTGCATTAACCCGTAAAAACTAGTTTTATTTAATATGTAGTGATTCATATGTTACCCCACCTGAATTCCTCGACTTCTCCGTTACTGCTCTGCGATGATGGAAAGCTGAAAACCTTCACATCACTCTCATCAACTTCTTCATAGGCTATCCTGAACACTTCATCTGCAACAATATAGGTATCATCATCATCAGCCTATTAATGTCCCCACTGCTGAGGCACAGGCCTTCCCTATGGATGGAATAGGGAGATTGGGTCATGACCCGCCACGCGGGCCCAGTGCGGATTGGCGGGTGCTAACGACTGCAGATGCAGCCGGGACCAACGGCTAAACGTGCCTTCCGAAGCGCCATCGAGCTCCTCAATATAGGTATAATTCAACACATTTGCTCAAAACATGCATTTACAAAGGTTGTATACATTATATATATTAAACATCGAGCAGTTATATACTTATAATATATATATATAACTGCTCGATGTTTAAATCTAAAGAAAATATTACTAGAAAAATTCCACGCGGACCAGGCAGCAGACGGGACTCGTACCCGCAACCTTCGCTATCCGGGCGAATTCACTGACCATTTGCTACCGCGGCCCTGACGGCCGTGTCGAATTCTTTCTAGCCTTTCTTAAGCTGGAAGGCAGCGCCATCTCTTCGCATTGTAGGTAAACCACAATGTCAAATGAATACCTTTACAAGTCGCCCGGATTGCGAAGGGTGCGGGTTCGAGTCCCGTCTGCTGCCTGGTCCGCATGGAATTTTTTCTAGTTATATTTTCTTTAGAAAATTTTTGTTTCATTACTAATATTATCTATACTGTTTTCTCGCAAATGTGTTAAAAATGTTGAATGACATTACATTGCTGCGGATTTGTATTTTAAAAACTAGTTACATTCGTCTAGTCGTTTGTGATAAACCAACTTACCGCACTATTATCATAAATAACTATTATGCCAACAGACGGGAGGAGCTCGATGGCGCAAATGGTTAGCGCGTTCGGCTGCGATCGTTGAAGTTAAGCAACTTTCGCAGTGGTCGGTCAATGGATGGGTGACCAAAAGTTTAGTATCTCGAGTTCTTCCGTGCTTCGGAAGGCACGTTGAGCCGTTGGTCCCGGCTGCATCTGCAGTCGTTAGCACCCGCCAATCCGCACTGGGCCCGCGTGGTGGGTCAAGACCCAATCTCCCTATTCCATCTATAGGGAAGCCTTGTGCCCCAGCAGTGGGGACATTAATAGGCTGATGATGATGGATGTGACTTTTATACCCCTTTCAATACGTCCACTGCGTATCATACATAATCGACTGTTAAGAATAAGGGATAACGGGTCTCTTCCTTTGCCATTTTTCCGAGTACGAAATTCAGGTAATTGCCCGACTAACATTCAGTCGGGCACGCTCTCTCGCCGCGGCTTCACTTCGATACAACGCGTAAATATTTAACGTTGTTCCAGACAAAAAGCTCTATGTGTATTTTTAGATAGAGTCTGTGCGGAAAGAGAATGGGATTTAGATTGGAGGGCGCTGTAGTGCTTTTCTACCGTATTTGTAAGGTTTTACCCCTTTTAGACATGATTAAATACAAAAAACTGCAAGAAATCACAACAACAAACAAATCCGTATCAATACAAAACTTTAACGTTATACAGATTGCTAGGTTTGATTGCCAAATAATAATCTTTATGTTAGTTCCGTTTTTCGCCACGCCCATTCTCTTTCCGCACAGACTCTAGTATACAAATTCCACGGAAACTATTAGAGACAAGAAATATGTGTCAATAAAATAAATATGTAGGTAAAACCGATATTTGCAATGAATTTTATTAAACATTTCCACTCACCATCAGATTTAGGCTGCCACCAGAATCCCGTGTACCTCGAGAACTCCTCCTGAGTCACGTAGCACGGTACTCCGGCTTGCTTCGGGTCGTCGGCTAATCTGAAATATTGTATAATATAAGCACCAAATAGAAAAAATGCAGAATTAAATAAATATAAATAAATATTTCCAACACTCACACCAATTTGCCTAGCCCCAAAGTAAGCACTTTAATGTCGCGGCACACGGGCCACCGACCACAACCACAAAACGCCGCCACCGGCATATTTCTTGTAGTTTTCATACATTTTATATGGACTCGCCACACACGGTACGCCGGTGGCCGCCACACGCTACAAATCGTCGTTGCTCGCTTCTTATGCCGCCACACGTCACTCGCGCGATTCTCTCCCTTACCTTAGTCGGCCGCTGTCGCGCGCTTCAGCCACTTTTGTAGCCGCTTCAAGCTTCTCGTGGCGGAGTTAGTGGCTGTGGCGTGTGGCCCGTGTGCAGCGACACTTAAAGCTTGTGTTATGGGATACTAGGGTAACGGATAGAATACATATACTGTACATATATAAGTATATTTATATAGAAATACATATTAAACATCCATGACTGGAGTACAAATGCTCGTATTCAACACACAAACATCTGCCTCCATCGGGTCTCGAACCCGGGACCTCTCGAGTAGGCGATACCTTCAAAGCCAGCGTTCTATGGGCCAGGGTATTTTCCAAAAAATTTAAAACTGCTTATATTTAAATATTGGTACAGACGATTTAACAGAAAATTAAAAATAGATTAATTAATGTCTTCTTTTTCTCCATTACAACAATTAATGTTGAATTTATTTTTAATGGTTTTGAATTTACCTTACCTTTTTTTTTTTTTAATTTTTAAGGTATTTATTTACTGAGAAGAACCGGCAAGAAACTCAGCAAAAGTTGTTTTTTCTACGTATATTAAGCTAGCAGACGATGGTCGCAACGCGCACATCTAACCTACTGGGTATTTAGTTGCTAATTAGTTACATTATTCCCGATTTAGTTGCTAGATTAAGTCTTAACCTTGCAGACCACAATACTGTATCTTTGGTTCTCGTAAGATCTTCGGGGTGGATCTGAGGTTAGGGGATGATTGAAGTATACTCTTATCTGCGTTTTTGGCGAGCAACTAATTAGCAACTAAATATCCCGCGTCTTTTTTCCACCTACGAGAATTTTCCGATATCGTCCTATTCTGGGGCGGTTGCAGTGCTGATCTGGAGTCAAGGGTTGATAATTAAATACTATAAGCAACGCCATTTTGCAGCAACTAATTAGCAACAAAATACCCCGTAATTTATATTCTCTCATGACCTCTTTTTCACATTATCGTATTTAGAGGGTAGTGCGGTGGTTGATGTGGCAATAAGGTGATGCTGGGGGCAAAATACAAATAATGTTGTCCTTAAGCAACTAATTAGCAACAAAATATCCAGCAGTTTTAAACATCTGCGTGCGAATTCGAACCATCTACTATTTTTTAGTGAGTAGAGGGGGTGGATCTGAGGTTAGGGGACGATTGTAGGATACTCTTATCTGCGTTTTTGGCGAGCAACTAAATATCCCGAGTCTTTTTTCCACCTACGAGAATTTTACGATATCGTCCTATTCTGGGGTGGTTGCAGTGCTGATCTGGAGTTAAGGGTTGATAATTAAATACTATAAGCAACGCTATTTTACAGCAACTAATTAGCACAAAATATCCAGCAGTTTTAAACATCTGCGTGCAAATTCGAACCGTATACTATTTTAAGTGAGTAGAGGGGATGGATCTGAGGTTAGGGGATGATTATAGAATACTCTTAATTGCGTTTTTGGCGAGCAACTAATTAGCAACTAAATATGCCGCATCCATTTTCCACCTACGAGAATTTTCCGACATCGTCCTATTCTGGGGTGGTTGCAGGGATGATCTAAAATTAAGGATTGATAATTAAATTTGTTAAGCAACGCTATTTTGCAGCAATTAATTAGCAACAAAATACGCCGTAGTTTATATTCTCTGATGAGCTCTTTTTAATTTCATCGTATTTCGGGGGTAGTGTGGGTGCTGGTGCGGCAATTAGGGGATGATGGGGGGATAATACAAATAATGCTAATAGTAGTCCTACAGCAACTTATTAGCAACTAAATATGCCGTTTGCAGAACTTCGATATCCTTACGAGAACCAATGATACAGTTTTGTGGTCTGCTAGGTTAAGACTTAATCTAGCAGATCGCTTGCATCTTTTACAGGTATTGAGCAACTAAATCGGGAATAGTGTAACTAATTAGCAACTAAATACCCAGTAGGTTAGATGTGCGCGTTGCGACCATGGTCTGCTAGCTTAATATACGTGTTTTTTCTGCCTGTTTTATTATTTACAGAGTCGTCAAGTTGAAAAATGAATCCAGAGATCACAACCTATCAAAATCGCATTCTCTCGCTAGCCGCACTCTAGTTGGCTAAAACAGTGATTATAAAACTAAAATCAATTTAATAACACACAAAATACGTGCAACAAATGTTGAAAATCGCCTCACCTGTCCGGTTCGTGTCCTTTGCAAGCGTACGTCAGCCTCGTAGGCCTCCGCGGCGCTCCGGCCAGCCACAGGTCGCCGCGGGCCGCGTGCGCCACCACGGCGGGCGCCAGCGGGCACATGGCCGGCGTCAGCGCCGCGCCCCCGCCAGTGTGTAACGAGCGGGGCACCAGCGGCGGCGACTGGGTGGAAGGAAATCCTCAGACTATAAGGCACAGGCTTTCCCTATAGATGGCAATGGGAGAATGAAAGGTGGGGACTGGATGGAAGGGAATCAGCAGACGATAAGGCACAGGCCTTCGCTATAAATGCCAATGGGAGAACAAGAGGCTGCGACTGGATGGAAGGGAATCACCAGACTATAAGGCACCAGGCCTTCCCTATAGATGGCAATCGGAGAACGAGAAGTGGAGACTAGATGTAAGGGAATCACCAGACTATAAGGCACAGGCCTTCCCTATAGATGGCAATCGGAGAACGAGAAGTGGAGACTAGATGTAAGGGAATCAACAGACTATAAGGCACAGGCCTTCCCTACAGATGGCAATGGGAGAACGAAAGGCGGCGACTGGATGGAAAGGAACCAGCAGACTATAAGGCACAGGCCTTCCCTATAGATGGCAATGGGAGAACAAGAGGCGGCGACTGGATGGAAGGGAATCAGCAGACTATAAGGCACAGGCCTTCCCTATAGTTGGCAATGGGAGAAGAGGTGGCGACTGGATGGAAGGGAATCAGCAGACTATAAGGCACAGGCCTTCCCTATAGTTGGCAATGGGAGAAGAGGTGGCGACTGGATGGGAGGGAATCAATAGACTATAAGGCACAGGCCTTCGCTATAAATGGTAATGGGAGAAGGAGAGGTGGCGACTGGATGGAAGGGAATCAACAGACTATAAGGCACAGGCCTTTGATATGCATAGCATTGGTCATATTTTCAGTAATGGAAAACTAAGAAAGAGAGTCGGTGTGAAAATCAGTATCTAGCTAGTAATGAGTTTTGTTTTTAATTTTATGAATGTATGTGTTTATAAAGTACATCTTTATAAAACCATCTATAAAATTCGTAATTCGAATATTTTGACATGAGTGTAGATAAAGTAATTTACGTATATATACCTGATTAACTCCCTCCTCTGCTACGAACAGGGAAGAAGCACAGGGGAACAGAACTCTGCCTGTAGCCTGGTGGAGTTCGTATGAGGCTATGCCCCAAGCAGCCACCCGCTGACGTTCAAGCAACAGCTGCTCCTCACGAGACCACTTGCCTGAGGACACTCCGAGGGCTACATTGGATTCGATGAGGGGCTTCCATTCCAATCTGCAAGTAAAATTATGTCATTATATTTTTTATTACATAAAAAACATTTAATTTTCAAATTATGTAGTAATGAATGCAGTTAGACTTTTATTTGAATAAAGATGATTTATTTATTGTTTAGATCCCAAAAAACTACCTCAAAACCATATGTATAACTAGTGGCCCGCCCTCGCTTCGCTTCGGGGTAGAATTGATCAAAATCCTTTCTTAGCGGATGCCTACGTCATAACATCTACCTGCATGCCAAATTTCAGCCCGATCCATCCAGTAGTTTGGGCTGTGCGTTGATAGATCACTATGTCAGTCAGTCACCTTTGCGTTTTATATATATAGATTTAGTTAAGCTAACTTATAAAAAATATTTTTAGTGTCTTGAAAAGTAATGTATGATACAAAAACTGTGATTTATTTTTATATTACCTGTTGTTTTTTTATTTGATGACTTTTAATGTTTTAAACTTTATAAATATATTGATTAAATATTTAGATTTAACTGTAAGCATTGTGTTTTTATTTCTTTTACAATATTACTTTACTATACCACTGTACTATATTGTTGCAGAAGAATTAGCCAAACAGTCCAATGAGATAGGAGCTCCAATAAGTCCTATTGTGCAGGTAAGACCGTCTATCATGATCCAATTGGCACCATATTTTTGATAGGAGGTTAAATAGGTCCTATTTTGTAGGTTAGGTCGAATTATGAAGGGTACTAGACAGTTAAAAATGTGTCTGATTAAATAACAAACAAAAATGCTAGGGTTTGGTGTATTCCAATCACTCCATTGAGTATTTTTCTATTAAGTATTTATTTGTGAATTGTGTATTGACAATGTAACTGCCTAATATCTTTGTAAATGCTGCCATTATTTATTCAATGTTGTGGAGGTTTTCGGAGAGGTGGTAGGGAAATAAATTACGGACATGTTTATTTTTATAACTGCTAAAACAAATAATAAAAATAAAATTCAATTCAGAAATAATTTTACAAATGCACTACAACAAACACAAACAAACAGTGTTTCTTATTCCACTGTAGAATGGTATTAAACTTTGAGAACCCAACTTTGCACTTTGCCTCTTTTTATCTATTTTAACTAGGAACCGTTCTTTGGCATGAGCAGTATGTATGTAGATTCCAAGGTGTAGCCTGCTAGGAGGTACCGGTTGCAAATCCTGGTGGGGGTGACGAATTCCGTGGCCGAGTGGTTTGTACGCCGGGTTCCATGGTGTCGCCGACTCAAGAGGTCCCGGGTTCGAATCCCGGTGGGGGCAGGTGTTTGTGTGATGAATACGAGCATTTGTACTCCAGTCATGGATGTTAAATATGTATTTTCTATGTAAATATATACTTATATATGTACAGTTTAAGTATTCTATCCGTTACCTTAGCATCCCATAACACAAGCCTTACATTGCTTACTTTGGGGCTAGGCTAATTGGTGTGAGTGTTGGAGATATTTATTTATTTATATATTCTATCAGTTACCCTAGTGGGTAACCCCTGTAATGTGTTCATTGGGGCTAGGCTAATTGGTGTGAGTGTGGGATATATTTATTAATTTTCCTCTTTTTAGCTTCTAAAAAGAAAATGCAGAGAAATGTTGCCATAAGAAACATCAAATATAATGAGTTTGTTATTGATAATTACACAAGGGCTCTGGTTATTTGTATTTACATTTCATATACATTTACTAAGATAAATGTGGGTCAGCGATGAATCTTGCATTGTTTGATTACTAGATTCAAAGTCCACATTACAAATTATTTTCTCACACACTTGCATCTCTCCAACTATATTTATATACTAATTTATCTTTGAGCCATCAATAAACCATTATGATCCCAGGCAGATTACTATTAACATAGTAGCTAGAAGCCATATAGTGTATCAAGGTGTCGCTTACTCAAGAGGTCCCGGGTTCGAGTCCCAGTGGGGGCAAATGTTTGCGTGAATTTAATAAGTAAGTTTAATATGTATTTATCTAAATATACTTATAAATGTATCAGTATATGTATTCTATCTGTTACCCTAGTATCCCATAACAAACAAGCCTTTCAGTACTTACTTTGGGGCTAGGCTAATTGGTGTGTGTTGGAAATATTTATTAATTTATGTTATTTATGTTATTGGCAAAAATTTGAAGTTGAAGTAGGATGCTGCTTTACAGGATATATGTGATGTCTCACTCTACAACTGAACTTGTCTACAACTAGCGGACTTTATAGCCTCTGAAGGAAAATAGTAAAAAATACTAAGCTTTCGCTTTGAGTTAGCCATTCCCACTCTCCCTGCTTTACAGCACCGCACTCATAGACAAACCTATTAGTCGACTGTATTAGTTGATGTGCCTGTGATTAGCGATTGATATATTTTGTAACGGCCATATATCGCCAATATGAAGCGTTTGGGTAGTATGTAACGTTACCAATATCTTTGTAAGAAATAAATTTACAACTTGTGATTTCTATCAATAAAGACGTAAAAATAACTACATATGTAAATGAATTCACCTGGTGTTGCTGGGCTGGTTCGACGGTGTCAAATCTGAATACAACAACGTTATCTCCCAACCGTTCATTGGTGTCCTCAAAAAATATATTCTGGTCTTCCCATTGCCTAGTTTCCTGAAGGATATAGCCATAGGAGTCATTGTGGAGAGCGACGCGAGCTCTTTCCTCAGATCATGCACAGCCTGACGTACTTCAGCCCAGGTAGACCTTTTTGACGGCGGCTGCACGTAATCCCCGGCACAAGCGGCCCCGTCTCCCGCCTCCCTCACTTCCATACTCACGATATCCATTTAGAATTTATCTAATAAACCTCTTATTTACTCTAACACAAGTCTCATACTTTCGACAAAACGTAACAAAGGAACTTCCGTGCAGTTACTCATTAACGCTTAGCTAATATAATTCGACTAATTAAAATGAGTGTTTACAAGTGAGGGTCTTCATTTTATAATTTATTATTTTGATTGGATTATTTGACTAAATTTAAGCCAACACACTCGGTTTCGTTTTTGACTTTTCTTGCCAAATGGTCGCCATCCTTGATTGAAGCAGCTGTTGCTGTCAGTCAGTCAATAATTCAATATCACAGAATAATACAGTCACTTTACTTGGCTATTCGCGTTTGCTATTTGTAAACTGGTATCAGTCTGTCCTTTTCACACCTTAGAAAACATGCCAAAGACCAAGATAGACCTTTGTCAATATTAAAAACAACAAATACAAATAACCAAGTGAAGTGCCTGCATAATATTTACATGAACGTCACTGTCTTCAAAAAACCAAGTCCAATTGGAGATGGAGTACAGAGGCTATTTGTCGCTGTCTTACAAGTTGACCAAGCCATATCTATCCGCATCATAATATAAATTATTCTCCAGATATGTAGAATAACACGAAAATTTTTCTCTTTTCAATACATTTTCAGGCTTACTGGTGAAAGCAGGAGGACCGAAAACATTTTAGTTGTTATAAAAATTTTACTTCTATAAAAAATATTAGTTTATGTACTACTTCGTACATACAAGGCAATACCTTACCTAAATACAAGAAATTAATGTCTAACGCCTATGGTCCATAGTCTTGAGGACTTAATTAGTTCTAACCATTACCATATAGTCAAGTATTTTGTTTATTGAGTTATCGCAAAAGTGTGTCTCCAGCCTAATAGATTATACTCTATAATTGTCTATGATAGTATGGCTAGCCAGCAGAGTTGGATTTTGTGCTATAATTATAGTATTTATTCTATGATTTCGCCTTTTGTACTATATACTATACATAGTTCAGGATAGTACGCTTATTAACCTTACCCAAACCAAGGCTTGGAATACCGTTAAAAATTTGGTAACGATACTTCTCTTCAGCAAGAGTAACGATACTCAGAAAATAACGTTACTTCGGTAACATTATTCTATCTACATATAACTGTTACCGTTACCAGTCTTATAACGTTGTTTTCTCATATTTTACCGTCCAGTATCATTTACTCGTTTAATGTTAAGTACCTATATTGGTAACGATATGTATTGCATTTGTTTAATATACAATTCTAAAAAGAGACGGATGACGGATGGTTAGTAACCGCTATTACTAGTAAGGTAAGGTAAGGTAAGGTAAGGTAAGGTAAGGTAAGGTAAGGTAAGGTGTAGTTATACCCCTTTAGTGGGTGAGTTTTTGAAAAATCTTAGCGCACGCCTATATATATATTTCTGGATGCATGTAGATCATTTTTCGAAAAAAATAAGGCCATAAAGAAGTTTCACTTCTTACGTGTGTACACTAGTACACGCACACATTTTTTTTTTGAGTGTGTATGCTGTTGGTCGCAGATGACCTTTATAGCGTCACCGGGTTTGGGGACGGCGAGATCCTAAAGGGACCTCAAGCCGAGAATTGGCGAGTGCCTCTGGAGGTATTCCAGGCGGATGGCGTCTTCCCACGGGGGGAGTCTCCTCTCCGTCTGGAGCCTCCAGACCACTCGAACCTGAGGGGGTCGGCTCAACTAGAGGGCGTCTCTGAGACTCGGCTCTAGTTAGCCGTTGTCGTGGGGGGCGGGAAAAAACGCCCAGGTACGTACCTTCGCACTCTTATCCTACGGGTGCGGTGTCCGCCTAATGTTGGTGTTGGTGTTTGTGGCCTGTGTGGGAGGAAGCGGAGACGCGTTGGCGCGTGTGATTTCGTCGTCAAGGTAGTCTAAGACTTGCCTAGGCCGGCCGGGATTACTGTACGCGCAGAGTGGCAACGTCGGAGCTAAATGGTATTTTTAAAAGAATCGGGATTATTAACGTAACTGATAACATTATTATTCCATTCTGTTAACTTAGTTAACGTTAAAAGTATCGTTCTGAATCTGTTTCTTGGTTACCGTTAAAAATTAACGTTATAATACTGATAGTGGTGTCGATTCTGGCATGATTCTCTAAACTTAAACTTAAATTTGATAACAGTGCATCCTTTCCATTCTCCTTATCAAATGAAAAGGAGAGACTGATGTTTTTAGTTTTAAGTTTAGAGAATCACGCCAGAATCGACACCATTGTAACGTTCTGTTACCTGATTACCATTAAAAAATTTACCAGTACTGAAATTACCGAAATAAAATAACGTTATATAACGTTATTTTTAATGTGAATTGGTAACGTTAAAAAAAATCCTTACCCAAACCCCAAGCCGGAAATGACAAATTATATACTGCAATACCGTTCGTTCTCTCCTTTCATCTCATTCATTCTCATTCCCCCACAACAATTGCCGCGTATCTGTCAATTGTGGAAAACATGTCGTTCGACCAAATAAAAAAAATATTTCATGTTTTCCTCAACTAAAACGGCTCGTAAAAATGGCACCTGTGTCTAAAACGATGCGGACTTGTGGTTTAATTATTTTTTTTGTGTTGTGCGCTTTCGCTTCGTCAGAAACTAGTATAGAACCACGGATAATCTCAGTGAAAACAGTGTTGAAAAATTGTGTCCAAAATAGTTGTAAATATTTATTAGATGTGGGCGGAGGAGAGTTCCTCGGCCATCATTCGTGGAGACTTACCCCCATTGATGGTGTTAAGGGTGTTAGTTGTGATAAAATACACCATGAATACGAGTTAAAAGAAGTTGAAACTACGCAGTGGCTCACGCGAGTTGAGATAACTGTACCCTATTCGGAGGGCAAAATATATTTTTGTTTACTCCGCGATAAGGAGACGAACAGTCCTTTTGGTGGTGAGTGGATGCACCAAGGTGATAAGTGGGTTTTGGATCCAGTAAACGACGCCGAAGTCCCAAGAACCACTAAAAATGCACAGTAAGTAATAAAGTTTTTACTCACATATTTATCTTTATTAGTAAATAAAACCCACAAATAAAACCAATCAATTTTATAGGTATAGTACTTATTAGGGCTGCTACAAACCTGCATTTATCTTTTAAATCCATGAGAGAACCCTTTGAAGTTCTTGCCACTAAAAAAATAATTATTGAAATTCATTTTTTAAAGTCAACTAATGTGTCTTGATAATGATTATTATTATATACCACTCGGCTCAGCTATTGATTGAATACCCACAATTTTCACTTTGAGATGTTTGCCATTTGAAATATTTTATTTATGTATTTACTCATATACACTAAATATCAGATCTCGGAAACTTGTAATCTTTTTGTAATACTGAAAATCACAATAAATTGCTTTGATTTTTTCAATTATATTCAGAATGGTTAGATTTCAGTGGAATCTATATAAAATGTTCAACACTTTAGGTAAGTTGAATTTGTATTTTTTTTTATTATGTTAGTTACAACTGAAATGGCAGGTACCATTCGCAATATGTCCGTTAAAATAAAAATAATTAAATTTATAATTCGTTAAAATTATTCAAAGTCTCTAACTTAATAATAATTTTAATACTATACAAATATGTTGTTCTTTCAACTCTCAGTAGTGATGATTATGCAAACTCAGTGACAAAATTTATTTAGTGGACCCTGACCCCAAGTGGTACTAGGGTACTTAATTCCATTATATGTAATTGAATTTCGCGGTAATTTGTAGGGGAGGGGGAGGGGGGGCTCCCCCCGACCCCCCCGCCATAGAAGATTTTTGGCGGAAATGCAGTTTTTTTTTTTACCTAACCTAAAAATTCATTAAATCTGTTATATGTAGTGAAATTTCAGGGGGATAGGTATTAGGGAAGACCCCTCAGAGGGAAGAGTCGTTTTTTTTACAGAAATGATAATTATAAAAAATTAGAGGGGTTTTAAAGGTAAAACTGTACTTCCAGGGCCTAGAGGTGATATTTGATTTTTTTTGTAGAAAAAGTCTCTATTAACGAATTTTTCTTTCTGGCGCTTCGCCGGCCGCTGCCGCGGCACGCTCGCTTCGCTCGCTCGGCTCGCGCGTTAAGGTCACAACACTAACCTAACCTAACCTAGTGTGAAGTATCACCACACAAGTGGCTCATTAGAGTCCAAAACTCGCACTACACTCGACTCTTCAGGCGATGGGACAGCAGAATTCGAGGCCGAAGGCTTTGAGGATGCCATAGTAGTCAGACGATGTTAATATCAACAGGAGTACGAAAAAGCTCTCAACTGCGACGAACACAAACACTGACAGACAGATCTCATTAATGGCGGTAAATTGTCACATTTTGACAATAGTACCAACATAATAAACTTATATTTACCATAGACAACGAGAATCATGTTATTTTTGCATAAAAAAATGGCAGCACTGATCAAAATTGCTGTCAAAATTGACTCATAACCTACAAAAATATTAATTTTCAATAATTTTTTTCTCGAGTCTATTCGTTTCCGCCTAAAAAGATTTCGTGTACGTGTTTTTAATAGTTAATACTTTGCGTGACAAAAATTTCAGCTTGCAACTCAATTACATATAATGGAAAGCTGAGCCGGTACTAGTCTGCCATACCCCTAGAGTGTTTATAAAAGTCTGAAAGCGTGGAGGGAGAGCAGCCTCTGCCTGTCGTATCAAATCGCAAGCACCACATAAGCCAAAGCAGCTGAGGCTGGTCGCCTCAGGTGACCAAAAAGTGAGCAATTGTACTTTTTATTAAAAATAAAATGATGTTCTATTCTATTCTATTTTTGTAAAGGCTGGCTGTTGTCTGCCTGGACAATTCTGCCAATGTCAGGGTTGAGCACTACGATCAGTTTGCTTTGCAGATTTACGCATCTTCCATTATTGGCCTGTTGAATGACCTAAAAGGCTTAAATAAAAAGGTTATAGACGTCACAATGACAAACACAACGGTTACAGATATAAGCATTAGTAAGCCATGGCTGTTTAAAATTTACAGTTTAATTTTTTAGTTGTGTATATATTTGGCAAGGATTGGGATGAAGGGAGAGTCTAGAATGATGTTTTCTGTCAGTGAAATATCCTGTCTTAAATATTTTATATACTTTCCCTCGTATGCACATAAAGAATACAAATGAAGAATAGCTAAATATACAAGTCATTGTGCTGAAAGTTTTCTAATTCCTGTTGTGCACCCAGTAGATATTTCTTGAATTTTTTTTTCTGATAGCATAAATGGATTATGGTGTCTTAAATAAAACTAGTTTAGTAACCCGTTAAGGTTTAATGCACGAAACTTTATTTATTTATCGACGTTTCGCAGCCTTTTCAGTTGTTAATACATCAATAAATAAATCAAGTTTCATGCATTAACCCGTTTAAACAAGTTCTATTTAATGAGTGATGTGTGTGAAAACCTAAGAAACAATTATGATGTCTTACTAGTATGTGATATTGTGTCTGTGGCAGGCAGGGACTGGCTGAAGGCGGGGAAAGATAGAGAAAAGTGGAAAGCAATGGAGGAGGCTTTTACCCAGATGGGATCCATGTCTGAAACTGTACTAACAAATACTAAAAACCAACATAATACTTAGGTTTACTAACAAACTAACATAAATGAAATGTAGAAGTAACCAATGGATATGGAATAAAAAGCTTTTTTATTTTATTTTATTTTATTACTAGTATGTGATATCACACAACTATCATCAAAACATCAAAAAATACAATGTATTGTCACTTTAGCTGGAGGAAGTTTACTAGCTACTAGCGTGTGATGTGGTTTTAGTCTTGCTTAATCCCAGGCGTTTATGGTCACTTGATCAAGGAGCAAAAAACTATTTAATGATTTTATAGAAAAGTTATTAATTATTTGTTCTTTCAGAATAGTAAAATCGCTGCTAATATTCATATTAAATACGGTTTCCAATAACTATTATTCATTTGTTATTCTGTTTTAAGTAAAAAGAGTTGTGTCCAAAAGCAATACTATTGAGCCATAACTTTTATGTTGTCAATCTAATAGACATACAAATTATATGTTATGTTTTTATTTTTAAGCATTTAACTGCTATGTTAATATCTAAAGAAAAGTTTACTAAAAATGTGGGTTACCTACAATGCGAAGAGATGGCGCTGCCTTGCAGCCTAATGCTAGAGAAGAATTCGACGCGGCCGTTAGGGCCGCGGTAGCGTAATGGTCAGTGTATTCGCCTGGATAGCGAAGCGTGTGGGTTCGAGTCCGGTCTGCTACCTGGTCCGCGTGTTTTTTTTTCTAGTAAACTTTTCTTTAAATTATATGTTTTAAAAAGTGGCGTTGAGTAACAAATGCTTTAAATGTCTTCTAATGCCCTTCGCAGCTCTTGCAGCCGCCCCTTACGGCCGCCCAGGCCATAGCCCTCTTGGAGTCTTGGTCCTAGGGTACACCCCTTTCAATACATGATTTATATCGAAACCTACTTACATAAATGTGGTATTAATCAACAAACATTTAAGATAGATCTTTAAGAATCTCAGTATTTTATATACATATTTCGCGAAAATCCTACTGATATTGCAATAACGCGCATAATTAGACAATGGCGAACGAAACTTTTTTCTGGCTGCCCGCTCGGCTTGCGAATCATGGTCGCAACACTAACCCAACCTAACCTAGTATGAACCTAACAATTCAAGAATACTTATAATAAGCCACCGATTCTTTTCGCAATCTTACTGAGGCTACTGTGTGGTTGGACTTCTTCTTCTTCTTCTTCTTCTTCACGGTGGGTGTTTTCCGCAACTCGACACCAGGTGCCTATTTTGCGTGTGAGGATGGCCTTAGTCGTGCCATCCCAGCTCCCCCAAGAAGCTCAGCAGTCTCCTGATGTCGCCGCAGGCCTCGAGTAGCGTCTGCGGGCTGCCCAGGTGTGTCATTCGATGTCTGGTCACGCCTCTGCACTGCAGCAGGACGTGAGTGCTCGTCTCCTCTTCCTCCATGCAGGCTCTGCACAGAGGACTGTCCGAGACACCTATTTTAAACAGATGTTTATTAAAGTGTCCGTGTCCTGTGAGAATACTCACTATTTGTTTCAGAGCATGTCTTGGTAACTTGCAAAACTTACTTGCTAGCCGTGGGTCTACCTTAGGTATGGCCTCCCTGGCGTGCCAGCAGTCTGCAAGTCCAGCCCAGTATTCGTTGTGTAGTCGCAGGTACCGTTCCCTAATCCAACTTCGCAGCAGCCGGTATGGGATCGGTACGATTGGTTCTGGGCCATATACCACAGTGTCCGACCCTCTCCTGGCCAGACAATCTGCTGCATCATTGCCCCTTGACCCACTATGTCCTTTTATCCATTGGAGTATGACCTCGTTTTCTCTGCCTACCTCCATGAGTTTGCAGTGGCATTCAAAAACCAAGCCGGACGTCATTACATTGTTGTCTAGCGCCTGGAGTACCGAGGCACTGTCAGAGAGTATCCGGATGTTTCTACTCCTGATTGCACGTTTTGTGATGGCCTCCGCTGCTCTGACAATGCCTATACACTCCGCCTGAAAGACCGTATTGAGGATGCCCAGGCTGTCTGATATATGAATGTTGATATCCTCTGAGAACACACCTGCACCAGTACCTGAGTTGGTTTTGGAGCCGTCTGTGTATACCCTCAGCTCCTTGTGTAGTCCTCGGTCAGGATTGTCTTCATATAGTTGTATTCTATATTTTTTGTCAAATACATACTGTCTAGGGATGATGTCGTTTCTCGCCATGAAGAAGGGGTATTCTTCCTCAATGCCTTTTAGAATACGTGTATGTGGCGTATTGTAGTCTCTCCGCAAGCCTAGCATATGGAGCCTAGTAGACGCACATGCTGCTTCTTGCTGGATGTAGAAATGTAGTGGTCTTACGTTCAGAATTGTCTCAAGTGCTGCAGTAGGGGTGGTTTTCATGCAGCCCGTTATCGCCCGGCAGACCCTCCCTTGGAAGCACTTAAGTTTGTCTATGG